CTGCAAGCGGACATCCGCTAGGCTTTCTTCATGGTCAAGGTTAATCCCGAAGACCGTCAGTACCTGCGTTTCTTGTGGCCCGGTCGAAGCGACAGCGACGAACTGTTAACCTGGAGGCTAACGAAACTGCCATTTGGCGTAAATTGCTCGCCATACATGCTTACTGCGGTGATTCAGCATCACTTCAAGGAGCTTCGTGCGCTGTCTGCACCCAAAGAGCGAGACCGTATTGATCTCTTGCTCACGAGTTTCTACGTTGACGATTTGGTCTCTAGTGTCTCAAATGCCCCGTAGAAGATGCAAGAGTTCAGTGTGCGTGTGCTTACAGATGCTGGCATGGAGTTGCACAAGTGGCGAGGCAACGAAATACGATGCGATCCAGAGGCCGGAGATAAAGTCCTCGGTCTGAAATGGAAAACCAGTGATGACTTGCTCAGCTTAGCAGCGCTAGGCGAGTCCGATAGGCCACCTGTTTGGACCCGGCGATCCCTCCTTAAGTGTGTTGTGTCAGTGTTTGATCCGGTAGGTCTAGCAGCACCGGCAGTTGTGCCGGGAAAGATAATGGTACAACAAGCCAGGAAATTCGGAGGCGACTGGGATGATAAGTTGCCTGATGGCATCGCAGCCGCATGTGCGCAATGGTGGCGAGAGTTGGCCGAAGTGGTGAGCATTGACATACCACGTTGGATTTGCTGCAATCTTGACATGCCGATTGCGCTTCATGCCTTCGCGGATGCCAGTGAGAAAGCGCTTGGATGTTCTTTGTATGCAGTCGTCAATGGACAGTCGCACTTGGTATTTGCCAAGGCCAAAGTGGTACCGGTGTGTCCGCCCACGTTAGCCCGCCTTGAGTTACAAGCAGTATGTCTAGCGGCTTGCTACGCTGAGTTTGTGGTGAAGGAGCTGCGTGTGACCGTCACGCAAGTCTATGGCTGGACTGACAGTCTCACTACCGTTCATTGGATCAGTAATCCATCGTACAAATGGAAAACATTTGTGGCTAACCGCGACAGTCAAGTCCAAGAGATATTGAAGAAGGTCGGCATTGTGTGGAACCATTGCCCGGGCCTTCACAACCCAGCAGATTTACCGTCAAGTGGGAGTAGTGCACAGCAGATCCGTAGCCCGTTCTGGATGGGTGGACCAACCTCGATCACGGAGCCGAATGACTGGTCCACCGCATCCTTAACCGCAGCTACAGATGAGTCCAGTGTAGAAGTGTGAGTGTCAGCCACCACCTGTAGTCGAGAATCTGATAATGAATGGTGGCTCCGATTCAGTAAGTGGGCGAGGGCACAGGGCACGGTGACTCTGATGTTGCAGTGGAAGCACACTGAGCCTCGTGCTGAACTCTATTTAGCAGCAGACAACGTATTGTACTGCATCGTTCAAGCTGAATGTTTCGCTGAGGATCTTGAGCTGATCAAGCAGGGTCAACCAGTGAAGCCTGGGTCGAAGGTGTATCAGCTTGAATCGTTTCTGGATGAGCATGGAGTGCTCAGAGCCGGGGGACGACTTCAGCACAGCGAGTTGGCGTATAAAGCCAAGCACCCAGTCCTATTAGGCAAACATCATCTGACCGAGTGCTGTTGGACAAAACGCATGTCGAAAGAAGGCACCAAGGTGTAGAAGGGGTCTTGTGGTACATCCGTCAGAAATTCTGGATTATCGTTGGTCGACGAGCGCTACGCAACATTACTCAGCGATGTGTTGCATGCCGCTGCTACAAGGCTAAGGCTGCCTCCGAAGTCTGCTCGCCACTGCCAGAAGACCGAGTTGTTCACGAGAGGCCGTTCGCAACTACCGGCATCGACTATGCTGGTCCGTTGTATGTGCGCTGTGGCGAGTCATCTCCGAAGGTCTGGATAGCATTGTTTGTGTGTGCCACCACCAGCAGAGCAGTTCACTTGGAGGTGCTCCATAGGTTTTAAAGTACTGAGTCATTCTTGATAGCATTTCGGAAGTTTGTCACGAGACGTGCTTTGCCATCTAGGATCAGGTCTGATAACGCTATAACGTTCAAGGCGGCATCTGACAAACTGAGTGTGCAATAGATATTCAATCCTTCAGCTGCGCAAAGGCATGGATACTTCTATGGGCGAATGGTTGGTACGGTGACGAGTGCCTTGAAGAAGGTAATGGGAACAGCGTTTCTGAAGGTCCAGGAGCTTGAGACCTTCTTTTATGAGGTTGAAGCAGTGATGAATAGTCGTCCGCTAACTTATGTGTCTGGATAGCCTGGATGAGCCACCAGTAACCCCTGCAATGATGATGGGTAACAGCTGGATGTCGTCAGAGAAGCCAGGTGTGAGTCAGCTACAATCAAGCTAGGCAGGGATACTACAATAGTCAGCTACAATCAAGCAAAGCAGGGATACTACACCCTCCCTTCCTACAGATAATTATGCCCTTGTTATTTTCAAAAGTAGGCAGGTGGACCAATGTTCTGTCGTGAGACAGTAAGTCTTGGTAGACTGGTAGACTTGGTAGACTGATAAAGTAGGAACCCTCTGGTAAAATGTGTGAAGGACCTGTCTCTCTGTGGAGCGGTAAAATGTATGTGTTCGCGTCTCAGTATTGGATGGTAAAAGGGATGTGTTCGGTCGCGTCACCCTTATCTTGGACACGGTAGCATTTCTTGATTCACGTCTCTCTCGGACGGTAACATTGCTTGATTCGCGTCCCTCTGGGACGTTACAACGGGAAAGGACTCGCTCACCATGTGGTGGTATAATCATTGTTACATGGACTGGTTATTTGAGTGTGTGCTTCCAGGTATACAGCATTTTGCGTCTGATCCAGGTCAGTGACTGCTGCTCCAGCAAACCGATTGCTTGGTCTGTGCGGGGTGGACATGGTCGGGATGGGTAATGAAAAGGCTAGGAAACTTTGTTGACAGAACTGTGAGAAATCAGTTGTGTGGGAGCTTCAGTGTGGCGAAATGTTGGGTGATCCAGAACTGTGTACTGCATATATCTGGACGTACATGGAGGAACAAGGAGGATTGTGAGTCCGATGCTTTTTTTATCGAATGGTGGTACGGGGACTGGGAGTGGGATTGTCTGTGGGATGGAGTGGCTGATGGTCCTGGAGACCCTCGTGTATCGAGTGTAATGTGGCAAACAAACAAAAAGGGAGGGATGTGATCGGGGAGACAATTTTGGCAGCAGAACGAGTTAGTAAGGGGAATATGGCAGCAATGATCATGAGGATAGTATGGAAAATACCGTGGGATTTTGGAGCTTGCATAATACGCGCCGTAGCTTGCATGATAGGGGTGGCATATGCACTCACGTGAGTAACAGTTGCATTTAAGCGGGGTGATGATAGAGTAGTGGTACAGCAAGGAGGGTAACATACCTTGGTTGCAGGGAATACGGGTCGTGTAGCGCGAGGACGATAGCAAGGACGATAGCGAGGACGATAGCGAGGCCGATAGCAAGGACCATAGCAATACGCTATGTCATGGCCAATCTTCTTGCAGGATCGGCAATAGGGACGGAGAGGTAAGGGCCGACGCCGCTTTGGTCGTATATATACCGGTAGTACAGGGGCATACCGGAGGGCATGAGATCTCGCTGGAGAATAATGGTGATCCACTTGGCCGGAACGCGTACGCCGCAGCGTCGATCTCCTGTGCGGATGGACTGTAGATCCGGGATTCTGAGTTGATCTCAGGTCGTCGTGGGTTCAGAAATGCGGATGGGACCAATAAACTTTGTTTTCTGCTCATTGGTCGAGGAGAGTAGGAGAATACACAGAAAGAAATTAAGTGAAAGGCTGCACTAGAGATGGGGTTCAAATCTGACAAAGTTTTAACCACCGCTGCGACCAATGTAATAGGTAGCCGAATGGAGGCACAGTGCTAAAACACTAAATAACTTTAACTTAGCCTTCCTCAGGTACACACCTGGATTATTATGTAAAAAATATATGAAAACAGAAATGAGCAGAAGCTTTTATAGGTAACAGACTACATACGCTAACGTATGGGGATACGCTACAATTAAGCAAGGCAGGGATACTACAATAGTCAGCTACAATCAAGCAAGGCAGGGATACTACAATAGTCAGTTACAATCAAGCAAGGCAGGGATACTGCAATAGTCAGGTACAATCAAGCAAGGCAGGGATACTGCAATAGTCAGGTACAATCAAGCAAGGCAGGGATACTGCAATAGTCAGGTACAATCAAGCAAGGCAGGGACACTACAATAGTCAGCTACAATCAAGCAAGGCGGTGATACTACATAAACAGTCAGGTAGGACGACAATAAGATGCTAAACTGACAGAGGTACTGAGACATTGAACGACCTTACAAATAGCTCCAACGAATCTATGAATTGAAAAACACCAACCTTCTTATATCACTTGGAAGTCCCAATGAGGGGAAGGAAACGCAACAAAGATGTGCTCAAGTTATATCTCACGGAGCAAAGAACGTCGAAAGCTACAAGATGATAAGGAGATTGGTAAGACCATTGGACAAACCGGTCTAACTACAACTCAACAACGCGAATCAACCAATGACGAATTACGTTATTTTCTCTGACCAATGCCATACTTGAAGTATGCATTTTATATTGGACAATTTTCGGATCACGAGACATAGTTTGGCTCCGCTATTATGTGTTGAAATCTCAGGAACCGTTGATCGCAGCGCTTCCTGGATGGGTTCTACGGCACGCTGAGAGTTTTCTCTTCGGCATAGATATTTGGATCGTTGAATTTGAGCTAGTTTTGACCGAGTTATCATGGTTATGGCTTGTTGAAGTCTCAACGTCGTGTGTGTATAATTCTACACATTCAAGTATGGGGCGGCTCTAAGGGCTAATGGGAGTTGTGATAATTCTCAGAACGAGCATTAGAAAAGTCATTAGTTTCTTGAATCTGCAAAGTATTCAAAATCAACTGCTGTTCTGGTTTACAAAGCTATGTGCAATGTTTACTAAGAGGTCTGTTTTACTTCTTGTTGATGGACCATTTTTCATTCTACCAGGACAACAGGACATGTCTGGACAGTGCAGTAGGAAGTCCAAATGTCTTTAGAGCTCAGCCTGCGGCTAGACTAAGGGCAATTATCCGCTATCTTGAGAGCAAGTACCCAGAGGAGCAGAAGAAGGTAAGCACAACTTAGAAGAAAAGAAAAAATTAATCAAAATGAATTTCCCATTCGAAAACTTGCGTAACCAATGAGGTAACAATATCTGTAACCGTCCAACCAGAGCGATTCAGGATCAAGAGTAGAACGACTTTATTATACCATCAACGGGGTTATATGGGACAGAAGTGTAATCCAAGGTGAACATGCAACACAGGTGTGATGTAACACAACGTAAGTGGGAACGTGTAGTAGGATGCACAGTGTGAGTGTGTGAATCTGTTACACCACCCCCCTCGTCAGCAAAGGTGAGCCGGGCTAAACACGAGTAGGTAAGCATTATAATACCAGTAAATCAATATTATTGGTTCGAAAATAATTGCTAACACAAGAGGCAATTCAAGGTATGGTAGGAAGTAAAACTCAACGCAGGAAAGGCGGCTATTGACGACGCTTCGTTTTCAAGTAACTCTGCAGCGGAATAATTTCCTTGTTAGACTCGTCCAATAAATGTTCGATAGGCTCCCAGGTGTTCTCACTGTAGCCACGCCATTGAACTAGATACTCCATGCGGCCCCTCCGTTTCCGTTCATCGACGACCGCGTCTACAATATAACGCGTGTTGCCGTCCAGATCCGTTATTGGTGGCGGAGGCGGCTGTTGCCGTCCTGGTATAGAGTTCTCCTCATACCGCCTCAGAGCTGACACATTAAACACCGGATGACAACGCATATTGGCAGGAAGTAGCAACCGGAAGGCATTGGCACCAACCTTCTCAGTTACAGGAAATGGACCATACCATTTGGAACGCAGCTTAGGGGACGGCTGATTCCGCGCCTCGGGAGTAATGAGGAAATCCCTATAGACCAGAACACGGTCACCAACCTTTATAGTACTGGGGGCACGAGTGTTGTCCGCATACAAGGCCTGCCGCGCCTGAGCCGCTACAATAGCATCCTTAGCAACGCGTAACGCATCCTGTTGCTCCTTCACCCAATCAGAGTGTCCGACTCCCATACGATCACCCAGCAAATCCGCTGGGGCTCGGGGGTGAAACCCAAAATTCAAATAAAATGGGGTATGCGATGTAGAGGAATGATGGGCACTATTGATGGAGAACTCGCAAAGAGGCAATAGCTTATCCCAATTGTCATGCTTATGGTTAATGAATGCACGGAGGATGTCTTCAACCAGCCTATTCACCCTCTCCGTTAATCCATCTGTTTGGGGATGGTTTGCCGTGCTGAAACAAAGCTTGGTTCCCAGAAGTTGAAACACCTCCCTAAAAAAGGCAGCAGTGAACCGAGGATCTCTATCTGAGACAATGGATGAACTCAAACCATGCAACCGAAAAACGTTAGCTATGTACAATTCAGCACTGCCCTTGGCATCAATGGATGTGGTAGTCGGTACCAAATGAACGCATTTAGTCAGGCGGTCCACAAAGGTATAAATAGCATCATGTCCAGCAGCTGTCCTAGGAAGACCCGTAATAAAATCCATGGCGATATCCTCCCACGGGCCTTTGGGTATTGGTAATGACTGCAGCAGGCCCGTGCGCAGCCTCCCCGGTTTAGTTCGCTGGCAAATATCGCAAGACTTCACGAAACGTTTGACATCGAGTCCCATTTTCGGCCAATAGAAAAATTTTGCCAAGCGTGAATACGTGCGGTCACGCCCTGGGTGACCTGCCGTCACGCAGTCATGGTTCTCCTGTACCAATTTCAGCCGTAGGGTACACCTCGGTATGCATAAACGGTTGCTAGGAGACGCCTTCAAGTAGAGGAACCCGGAGTCGTTGTCGATGAAGTACTGACTGTGCACATTGTCACTGTCGGGGCGCTTCATTCGTTCCATAACTACACTCAGCTCAGGGTCCACGGCATAACTGTCCAGTATCATGTTGGCTATATCGTCATTGACCTCCAAGGTATATTCTATAGCGTTTAGTCGAGCTTCAGGCGGAACCACATGATCTTCGTCCCTTAAGTCCGGGCGGCGTGACAACGGATCCGCCACATTCTCCTTGCCAGGTTTATGGTGAATAGTGTAATCAAAGTCCGCAAGAAATTCAACCCAACGGGACTCCCTTTTCGTGAGATTTGATTTTGTCAGTAAGTAGACTGCTGCTCGGTTGTCTGTGAAAACGTCAAAGTGTTCAAACAAATAAATGCGCCACATCCGGAGGGCGGACACAACTGCTAACGTTTCTCGTTCCGACGCTGTGTAGTTCCGCTCCGCCGAGGAAAGCTTTCGACTGCCGTACGCCACTGGCAACCAACAACCAGGTTCCCCCTCCTGCGAGAGCACCCCCGCGATTGCAAAATCGCTAGCATCAGTTTCAACTCGGAAAGGTTTTGATACGTCTGGAAGTCTCAAAATAGGGGGATTTAGCAGTGCCCTTCGCAACTCCTCGAATGCTGCCTGGGCCTCACCAGTCCATGAGAACCTGGTGTATTTACCCGTTAGCTCCTCCAAGGGCTTGGAAATATATGAATAGTGTCTAATAAAGCGACGGAAGTAATTGGTAAACCCGAGAAATTGTCTCACGTCTTTCACCGTACATGGGGTGGGCCAATCACGAACTGCAGCCAACTTCTCCGGATCAGGGCTAATCGAGGAACCGGTCAAACGGTGACCCAAGAATAGAATTTCTTCCACCGCAAACTCGCATTTCGGTAACTTGCAGAATAGTTGGTTAGCGCGGAGGGTAGTCAGAACGGTTCGAATGTGCTCAACGTGCTCTTCCAGGGTTTTGCTAAAAATCAGAATGTCATCCAGGAACACTACCACGAATTGGCGCAAGTACGGCTGCAGAATGGAGTTCATCAGTGATTGGAAGGTTGCCGGGGCATTAGTCAGACCAAACCCCATGACCCTGAACTGGTAGTGGCCAAACGGGGTGTTAATTGCCGTTTTCGGCACATCCTCCTGTTGTATCCTGATTTGGTTGTATCCTGCGCGAAGATCAAGCTTCGAGAAATATGCACTGCCCGGCACTGTGTCGAATAGGTCCTCAATGTTAGGGAGGCAGGCCTTATTCTTAATTGTTATTCTATTAAGTTCCCTCCAGTCACACACCATGCGAAGAGATCCATCTGATTTCTTCACAAAGAACACAGGAGCCCCATAGGGCGACTTACTCGGCTCTAAGAAGCCTCTCCGGAGCAGCTCCTCAATCTGCTTCTGGAGCTCGTCTAGCTCCGGCTTCGGAAGGCGGTATGCCGGTCGTGATGGTGGCGCTGTCCCTTCCGCCACCTTTATTTCATGGTCGACCGTTCGCTCTGGCGGTAGTTGGTCAGGGAGCTCGTCCGGAAATAGGTCGTCGAACTCACGTAGCAGAGCGTTCAGCTCACTTCCGAAGTGAGTTCCTTCCTTGTCACGGATAGGTGGTGGATCTTGGCCCGGCGCATCATCCTCCATAGAGACCCAGGCTATATACGCTTCGTCTCCTGAACGAATAGCGGCATTCGCTTGTGCTGCAGAGATGAAGTGGGATTCTGCGAACTCGGCGTCCTCGCCAGCTTCGTGGCCTCGAGCCACGAAGGTGTCCTCCTGGATCTGCACCTTTTTACTCCGGAAGTCGATCGTTGGGTTGTGGCGAGACAGCCACGGCATTCCCAAGATGGCGTCGTAGCGCGCCAGTGGCAGCACGGTGAAGGTCTGGGTTTCGCTGAAGTCAGCTACCACCACTTTTACTGGCCCGGCAGTTTCCAAAGGCTGTGTACGAGACGAGCCATCTGCTAATGTGACCTTCAGCTCCTTGGTCGCCGTGTCAGTCTTCAGGTTATGTCTCCTGACGAACTCCGACGACAAAAAATCGTGGGTAGAGCCAGAGTCTATTAGCATGGTAGCCTTCCTCCCATTCACCTTCCCAGTGACACATAGCAGATCGTGCTCTGCGCTCATCGCCACGCTGCTGATGTGCGCCTTAGGCGTAGCGTCAGAACTCTCCACTGCAGGATCGCTTGCGCTGTCTCCTTCCTCAACACTCAGGCCCTCGAACCTATTGAACACAATGAGTGGTGTGGGTGCCTGAGTATCCACCGCCAGTGAGCGCACTCCCTTCTTCACTGGCTGGAAGCGTTTGGGGAATTCACGATGACTGGACAGTTTCTGGCAATATGTCCAGGCTTCCTGCATGAGTAACATATGGGCTCACTCGTACGGTTAGATTGCTGCTGCTGACGTCCCCATGGACTGACAGGTTGCCTCGGTGTACTGGCCTGAGCGTGAGGTGCCGGACCCGGGTGCCTCGACCGACGAATGCCTGTGCCTGTGGTGGTCTGTTCCCTCCATACTCCTGATGCCTGCATGGCTGCCATGCGTGCGGCACGAATGGCCTGGCCTAGTGTTGTCGGGTGCTCCCGAAGAGCCGAGTGACCGATTGCTGCATGCAGGCCCCTCACGAACAGCACCGCCTTCGAATGGTCATTCAGGTCGTTCACCTGAAGGCAGAGGTTAGTGAATTCCTGTACGTATGCGTCCAGGCTGCCGCGCTGCACCAGTCCAAACAGCTTGAGGCGCGCTTCCTCCTGTTCATGGACTGGGCCATACACGTCGCCGAGTGACTGTTTTAGCGTCGGCCAGTCGTGGATGCAGGCGCCGGAATCCAATACCGACATCAGCCAAAGCCTGGCGTTGCCTTGTAGGTAGCTGGCAGCGAATCGCACCTGCTCCTGGTCGTCGTTGACGCGCTGTGACACCATGGCGAGCTCGATAGCGAAGACCCACTCCCTGAAGTCCGCAGGGTTGCCCGAAAACACCGGAGGCCTATTGACTGTCCCATCAAATTTCCTGTCGAGCAGTCGTTGGTCCGTGGGCCGTTGAGGTCCTTGAGGTATATCCGTCGTTGCGACAGTTTGTACCCGTCGACGCGCTCCGTCCTTGTAGCGGTCATACCGAGCTAACAGAAGGGTGGCCACGCATACCAGCAAACAAAAAATCTCGACAACCATCCTTTGCTACCAGTGTAACCGTCCAACCAGAGCGATTCAGGATCAAGAGTAGAACGACTTTATTATACCATCAACGGGGTTATATGGGACAGAAGTGTAATCCAAGGTGAACATGCAACACAGGTGTGATGTAACACAACGTAAGTGGGAACGTGTAGTAGGATGCACAGTGTGAGTGTGTGAATCTGTTACAATATCACTATATTCCCTCCTGACACTCACACATTGTCTCCCTGCTGCAAACACCGCTTTAGATTCACCAAATATTCAGGCATGGCTCAGTATCAGGTTACTGGTTCAAACTAGTGATGGGTTATACCCAAACATTTAGTGACCCAAAAGTGACGTTCGCAGCAGAAACATTCCTGTGTGGGTGTTTGGAATGAGTGCAATAATGCAGTATATCACTCCCTTAGTATTGACTCCCATAGATTTTTGCCATACCTAAGCAGTCAAATATTCCTGCATATTTCACTCCTTAGGGTTATATTGACTGCTTATATTTGACTGCTTAGGGGTTGCGCAGTTGAACGGTGCCTAGTGCAGCATTGTCACTGCATGAGTAGGTGGTGGTGCAACGGTTGTGCAATCATAAAACCGGGATTCATGAGGTTATCGTTCTGGAATTTGAAATACGGACTGTTTGTCGTGATAAATCTAATATTGACTTCGTACTTGGTCAGTATAGGAAATAAAAACCTCGTAAAAGACCTCGGATTCGCCTCGGTCTTTTACTCGGCTTTTATTTCCTATATTGACCTCGTACTCAGTCAATATTCGATACTTACTAAGACTGCGGAAAGGATGCAATAGTTTCAAATATTAATAGCAATGAGTACACTCAAACGTCTCTTATCCGGACGCCTCAGATACTGGCACGCCTCTCTACCGGGCACCTTTAGCTTGAGTTCCTATGGCACAACTGCTTCCAATTTGGGGGTTTGAATTATTTTTCGTGTACACTAGTGTCCATTCATCACTGCCCAACTGTGCAATTCACTCATTTTCATCAAGACATTATATTTTATCCTGAATATGTGTAATATGTGCCAAAAACATTTCTTCAAAAAGCGGTATAATACATGGTAGACGAGCTGTCCTGAGATAACGGAAAACCTGAGATACGGGCAGTGACGTTCGAACTCATACTGAATCGCTCACTCCAGCAATGATATTTAGTAAAAAAGAACATATCAGAGAAAACCAGAATATTTGTGCAAGTCGATCTCTCCAATTTCGCTGAAATTTTGCAGGTAAGTTTCCTTTGGGGTTAAGATTGACCGTGCAAATCACGTGCCCCGTGACACCAGATTGCCAGGTCTCGTAGACCACGGTTCATCAGTTATTCTGAGTCACCTTGATCAAGTGTCCGTGCACTTACAAGGATCGCCTGTTGATATTTAGATTGGATCACATGCATTTTGATGCCCGGCTTAAGAGCACGCTGGTGGCGTTGTAGGCCTTCCAACCAGGACTTTCCCTCAACATGCAGCACAGAGACTAGGGTGAGTAGGGGCCAAATTGCGTTGTTCATCACGTAAGAAATCTGTGATGTGGGCACGTCACGTACCACATGGACCCAGTGTAGCCTGTGCTGGTCAACTCCAAGCGACCTTGATGGCATGCTCGATGGTCATTCCTTGCTGTTGCAGATCTACATCAAGCATCAGCATGTAAACTAGCCACGGTTCATGGTGAGCCATGTTCGGGGTGTTCGAGGTTAGTGTGAATTATGCATACAGTCAGCTTCACCAATAACGACTGCTGATATAACGACAATTCGCGAATAACGACAGAATTTCCATGCCCAGAGCAAAGTCCCATCCCATGTAATACATATAATGAGACTTTGGGTATAACAACATTTTGCGAATAAGGACACCTTTTTGACGCCCACCGAGTGTCGTTATAAGCGAAGTTGACTGCACCTGTTCTCACTGCAAGAGGACATATCTCCAAGAAGTCTTGCCAATGCAATACTGCTAGCGCTGTAACGATAGTGTCTGCGGGTTCTGAGCAGAGCATGCAGGAAATATGATGTGTCTTACCTCCTCCATTATGGTTCGTTTTGAATAGCACATCAGGAACGATCGTGATCGTGTGCATTGTGTTGTGAACCGGATTGCATTGTGCATTGTGTTGTGAATCATTATTCTACATCATGAAGCATGTGATTTCATCATTCCTCTTGCGGTAAAGTTCAGAAACTACATGCCAAAAAGTCACTTTTTGCATCAAATGTTGCACCGAAAAATTGCGGTGGCGCAAGGAGAAGCTTGTCGTTTGGAGTGACAAGTTATCACCGCTACTTTTCCTTGTCAGAGTCAACAATACACTTCGTTTTGCACCTGGTCTACAAAGCCGAAGTGACACGCCGTAATGTTAACCCATCACGTGTGTACTTCGGAGCGACAGAACCAACGTTCAAGACCCGGTACGGAAACCACAAAGACACATTCAACCACGAGCAGAGACAAAAGAGCACCGAACTATCCAAGTATGTCTGGAAATTGACGGAGAGACAGGAAGACTACTCGATTCAGTGGAGTATTTCAGAACGAGCACAAGCCTACAGCAACATCAGCAAGAGGTGCCAACTTTGCCTCTCGGAGAAGTTCCGATCATAATCGCGGATAGAGAAACATGCCTCAACAAGAGAAGCGAGCTTATCTCGAAGTGTAGACATGCCAGCAAATTCTCGCTCGCGAACTACACCGGGGTCACATGATGAGATATGCGGTGTTCCCACACACACACGCGCACGCGCGCACGCACACAAGCACGCACGCCCGCACACGCGCGCACACACACACACACACACACACACACACACACAACCACACACACACACACTCTATCTTTCTCTCTCTTGTGCACACACATGTACACCCTCACTCTTTCACACTCACACCAAACCACATTTTTGCGCCATTGCTCACACTGGTATCTGCAATGTAACATACTACCCATCCCTTTGGCGTGACACAACTACCACTGAAACCTACTTAATTCCTGCGTCGGTTCTACATGTATCTCCCATCTTGGTTATAGCAATATACCTCAGCCATGACACTTGCATTCATATTACGCACAGTGTATTCTAGCGCTGATGTTATCTCCTCAAGCTTCGTGGTTGCAGCACTGCCTTAGCCTACATTACAATTACCCTATATAACTAGCGAATAGCATTATTATGTTTTATCGTCTGATGAGTGTTTTTTGAAGCACGAAATTCGGAGTTGCGAGAAAGGTTTTTGGTCTCTGTGGTTCTGCCTCATGTGGTAAGCTCTGCCCTTGTTGAGGTATTGAGCATTATTTGCAGCAAAGAACCCAGCAGACACTTTGTTGTATGTACTACATATACACGTATATTGAGTTATGGGGGCGTTCGAATTGTCTTCAGCAACTGTTCGAACAATTTTTTTAAAGAGATTAGTTGAAAGATCCGATTACTAGACCGTTTTCTATCATTTTAGGGTTTTCAGTGGAATTGTCGATGACGTCCGATAATATCGACCATCTCCACGCACTACGTGACGTAGCTATTCCAAACCCTTCGGAAAAAAAGTCAAAGAACGACAATTCGAACAAGCCCTAAGTGAATAGCCATAAAAGAAAAGAATTCCTTCTGCTCATGCTACCCTGTCCTTGAACGTCTTTCCTAGCACCTCACTTCACTCCAACCATGTTTCTCTATGGACTATTCTCTACCAACCACCTCTTCCCTATTCCTACTTTTACATCTGTCATTGTGTTTCCTGTGTGTTCTATTGGCAATGTAGGTAATGGAAATTGTTCGACATGCCGCTGAGAAGGAGACTGCTGACCCTCACAACCGTCGTTTTCTTCAGGTAATAGAAAGCACAACATGTTATGAGTTATGACTAACTGTCCACCGGTGTAACCAGATAATTATACCGTCAGCAAGTGTGACAAAAGGGCACAACACTGACCAGGAGTACTTAGCTAAAAAACTGACAAGGAATGCTCGGATTCCCCTTCCATGTTTACAATAATAAACTTGAACCACCCAATTTGCGTGGTCTGTTACTTTGCGTCGTTGGGTTGTAGTAAATCCGGTATGTCCAATTGTCTTACTAGTGAAGTCTTTATACAGTAACGTTCGGCATGCTTTGTTGCTGTGGGACAAAGCCCGTGCTCATCTTCGTTGCGCTTTTCTTCCAATCTTTAGATATTTCCTAACCTGAGCCTCCCAAGTTGGAAGGTTGTTGGTTTACACCTCTTAGATGTGTTGGAGTGAGGTGTTAGGTCGTTGAATGTCTCAGTACTCCTTGTCAGTTTTGTGCCCTGTTGTCGCATATGCTGACGGTGTATTACGTGGTTGCACTGTGGGACAGTTGGTCATAACTTGTAACATTTTGCCCTTTCTTTATTTTTTACATGATTACATTGGCTAAAGATCCGAGCTCTTCAGGTAAAGTCTTTATTATCTTTTATACTGAGTATTCCAAGTATCCCGTTGCTATGGAGAGTATCGTGGCAATTGAGGTCATTCACTGATGTTATGTACTTGGTCCGGCTCATCGCAATTGTCGCTTATCCCCGACGAACTTTTTGACAGGTAAAACCCAGTCCAATCACGATATCTAACTTACTTTTGCTTGGGAGGTCGTGATGGCAAGATCAAAGTAGGCACCAAAGAAAAAATGATCGCGACTAGCGCTTTGAATCGCGATGTATTCGACTTTTTGGGAAGTGGGAATCTGGCCATTCACTGTCTGTGTTGCCAAAAGCCAAGCGCAGCGACCCGAAGACCGGAGCTGTAGCAGGTGCAACTGACATCCTGGCCTGGAGAGCGTGACAGGCACGAGTGCACGGCAGAAGAGTATAAGCATCATGATGAAGAAGAAAGGTGTTTTTGATGCGATGTGCCCGGCCGACCTGTTGGTTGTTCCTTCTCTTGGTGGACCTAGCAGCCGCATTACAAGAGTCGGGGCCCGCCTATCCAGGGAGCGTATAACACCTGTCTGGAGAGGCCTGTATGCCTCATTTGAAGGCTTTGTTGAAACACCCTGTGGTGACACACAGGTCACACTGCTCACGGTTCCTTCAAGCACCGAAGTGACAGCCACAACTTTTTCTTTCCCATTGCTGTCATACGACAGGCTGAGAACGCAAGAGATACTCTACCAGTCTACGCCAGCAGCTAGACACCAGCAAATGTCAGCTCATGTAGCGACGCGGCTTGAGAGATGCAGAGTTGAGTGAACTTTGGACCTGTATTACTAGTGTGAGTGCAAGAACGCGCTCCTTCGCTGATTTATTTCGTGCATTTTGCTTACCTTGCTTCCTTTCTTCGACTCGCTTCACCTGATTCCATTGTTGAAATTTTTTCTTGTGGCGGAGAGTATTCATGTATCATGCTTCCTCACTATGTCTGTTTGAAATTTCACAGAGCGGTAAAAAAAACTCCTGTTCTTAGTGGCGAAAGATAAGCGACAATTGCGATGAGCCGGACCAAGTCCATAGTAATTGTTAAAAATGGATGAAGTTTCGTTTTCAATCCGTGCATATGGTAAAAAGTCGTCTGTACTTTCAATACGTTTCACAAAGCTATCACCGACTCATTTTTTCGATGTCCACCATCCTAGTGTTGAAAGTAGCAAGAATCTTTATAGATTCATTTCCTGCTTGTGTTTAAATTCAGGCAAGTACATGTGTGCAGTGCATGCCGCTTTCCGAAAGAACCATATAGCATGTGGACAAGCTGATCTTCTCATTTACATTGTCCGATTCATAAAAAAATTCATCTCCACTTAAGACAGCATGTCTGAGAATACCAAAGTATGTGTGCAAGTGGATCTCTCCGATTTCGCTCAAATTTGCGGGTAGGTTCCCTTTGGGGTGTGGATCGATTGTGCAAAGCCCTTGAAAAAGTTTCTGAAGGGAACCTTGAAATTTGCATACCCTCAAAAATGGCCGAAATATCACACTATTTATGGGTCTAGAAATGAGTTACGCCACAGCGTATACGAACAAGCTATGAACAAAACTCCATCAAGCCAACATTGCCTCACCTTAGAAGAGTTCCTGGAGCAGTACCGCTTAGCCACGCCAGCATCCCAGAAGACGAGGTCCATCACCCCCTGACGCCACAAATGATCGTCTTGAAAATAGCCAATTTACAAGCGCTGGCAAAACAGCCAGCTACGTCCTCAATTGGCCAGAACTATACACCGGCAGATAGTAGAACACCTCTTCTAGCGCTGAGGACATGTCCCCCATCTTCCTTTTGGGGTTTTCTTGAAATAAACTTTTTTGAATTTTTCCACTCGACCATGCTGAAATGCGGCCAAAGTCATACTTGGGCAGGAAAGCTCGCCCCTCCGCGACGTCTCCCCAGCAATTTCTACTCCAACACTACTCTCAAGGCCGCAGAACAAAGTGTAGTGTTGACTCTGACAAGGAAAAGCAGCGGTGATCACTTGTCACTCCAAACGACAAGCTTCTCCTTGCGCCACCAATAATTTTTTCTGCGACTGTTGATGCAAAAGTGACTGAAGGCCTGAGCGCAGTTTTTGAATTTTATTGCAAGATGCACGGTGAGATCGCGTGCTCTGTGACGTAGGATGACGCTTCCTGCATCACGATACAGTCCGTGCGCCAGATTCAAAAAAGTCGTCTAAAAGTTGACTTTTCATTTTCCGCACTGGGCAGTTTGCGGGTACTTTTTGAGTCACATTCTCAATGGTGGACAATTTTGGAAAATGGTTTTGTGTCTATGGCTCGTTTGTTTTGGCATTTCGCTACCTGTGTGGTGAGCCTAAAAATTGAGCTTAGCCGTGGCAACGCAATGGTGTATTCCGTGTTTCAGCCAGATGACTTGTTTCGCTGTGATCCGGCATCTTCCTAGATTCTCAGCCGTCGTCGAATTTGAGTATTTTCGAAACATTTTTCAGGGTGCAGGCGTGGGGCATGGCTTTCACTCCCAGCCAATGGCACCATTTGGCATAACTCAGCCCTATGAACACGTCACCAGGCCCTCGTTAGTGTCCAGCCCATATTTCCAAAAAATGGACTGGACTTGAAACTTGAGTGTACAGACCGTACTATGCATTATGCACGTAATGACCGTATGCAATAACTTTCGCAAGCTACACGACAAGGACTCGCTGCAGAATAACATCATGATATTCACACCATATGCCATTGTGGTGCACCGTGATACCAATGACAGTATATTTATCGGTGATCAATTTCCTACTGGGTCGCTCCGTTGCCGAGAACGTCAACTTTGCGGACTGTGGAATGACCCGCGACACCGCCAACCACCCCTGACACAAAGCCAAATGTTGAAAGAGCTGACTGATACGGTACCTAGCAAGTTAACTGGATAATGCTTATCTTCAACAAAACCAGGACATAAAACAGTGCTATGATAAACTACCTCCAGTCACCGGAAACAAATACAGTGCATTACGCATAATTATTATGGATAGAGATTGCACTAGTACATGTATAATTGTATACCAATCTTAGAGTAAGAAAACAAGTTATCGGGTCTATACCATCAGAGTTGGCAGCTATATGTATTGGATTCTCCTGGTGTGCAGAATGATGCTGGCGGCGTGGTTCATATTCACTGTTGGCTTGCTGTCGGCAGTACCTTCACTATCTCACGTCTAAGGCATTTTATAGTCTGCATGACTTGGATCACAACGCCATAGTTATCCACACGAGAATGGTAATAAATCCAGATCACTAAGGCCTTCTTCATTGCAGTTGGCGCAATACGTTCACGGGATCGCGTCTCCGACCTCCAAATTGTTATTATAGCTGGCTAGTCTGTTGTTTATTGGCAGACAAGAATTGCGATGCTTCTTCAAAAGAGGCAGTTTAGCGATGTCTGTCCATGACATATTCCGCATTGTTGTGTGTGGAAGGAAAGGTACAACAACATTAGATTGCTGCTGGCCATAGACATCAAACTGCAACATCTGGGCTTCAGCTGTCACAGGTCCATTGACAGAGAGACTGCCGCATATTGCACATACTGCAAACTATTGACTTCATGCCATCGCCTCATGGATCAGAAGTCACCACACTGAAAGAAGAACAGCAGAGAAAAACAGAACTGATGCAGATAATTGATGCAGTTAATTGGCAGCAACAAATTTACTCCTTCATTTCATTCGACGAATTTGAGTCGTGCAATGCAAGAAAAAAGTCAGAGAGCAGGATCTAGGAGAGGGCATGAACCAGTGCTGTTGTGCCTATAATAATTAGATGCTTAGAATTTCACCACAATAATGCACATAATACTGACATATTTACACTATGCAACCTAGTAGTCAACAAATTCAGAAAAAAATCTAGTACTTCAGCTGGTGAAATATCCCACCTCTATCCCCTAAGCTCAAATGTCCCTGTAAAAGTGATAAAGGATTGGTAGATGCTCACTCGGAGTGGTGTTTGAAAAGTAACACAACAGGTCATGACGATTTAGAGCATGCTCAATTATCCCTTCTCATAAAATCACAATATTGCCTGTGCGTGGTTTATTTCGGGTGCAATTGTGGGGCACATAGGTATCACTCTAATTTCTCGTGCATTCGAAAGATAAAGCTTTGGTCTATCACCCCACAAAGGGGCTGTAGTGTCCGCGATGGGTAAATGCCTTACCTGGTGTGAAATTGGTGACCATATTCCTCGTTTCAGCAATTACAAAAGTGAGACATTCGTCCTTGGTGGCTGCTCACGAACTGCAAGCTCCAAAATAATTTTCCAGGGTACGGCCATAGGTGTCTACATCACTCCGAGCCATCTCTCCAGTGTAGGAAAGGTCTCCTGACGAGACTAGAAGGGCTCTAAGCAGCAAATTTCATTGAAATATTCACCATTCGGAGATAGGCGAAATCAACAGAAAACAAGCCCGCAGGTGCGGCGCCTTGGAGGCTACGATTCCCGCGAGAAAATGAAAATCGGTCTCTCAAGGGCCTTGGCGCACGGACTGGATACGCGGCCATCGATCACGAATGTGCCTGGATCATGGAACGCTACTCGGAACAGACCATGATGGGAGAGGTAAGATGAGCTTCATTTCCTGCTTGAACTACTGAGAACCCCCACAAACTGTCCTTGGAGTGTTGCAATGGCAGCAAGGTGTTGAAATATGCCCCATACAGCATGGAGAGTTATTCGTCTTTCACACTTACCTCCTGCAATCCCGAACATACCGCTAGGGTTTATCGGGTGTTAGCGGCCGTCGTGAGTTCCCTTCGGGAACGGATACGATAATTTACTTTTTTTTATATTTTTTTATCCCGAACATAGTCCAACAGTAAAAGTCCCTTGTTTTCATGTCGATGCTCGACAAAAGCGGCTAGCTCGGTCCCTTTGTGTTGACTGGCACGCGAGCAGCACTGGCTGCACGCACTTGTCGCGTGAACTGCATGAGAGATTTCTTACGTCATAAAGAATGTGATTTCATTTTCATTTCACTGGTCTTCGACCTACATGGTCAGGGAAAGTCTTGGTTCGTGGGCCTACAACACGGTCAGCGTGCTCTTGGACGCAGTAACAACACAAGTGTGATCACTTCCAGACCAACGGGTGTTCAAGGCGAGTAACAAGCGCACTTGACGAAGGTGACTCTGAAATCTCGTGAGCCGTGGGCCACGCGATTTGGCATTCTTGCGTCACAAGGCACGTGATTTCACCGTGCATCTTGCAATAAAATTCAAAAACTGCGCTCAGGCCTTCAGTCACTTTTGCATCAACAGTCGCAGAAAAATGTATTGGTGGCGCAAGGAGAAGCTTGTCGTTTGGAGTGACAAGTGATCACCGCTGCTTTTCCTTGTCAGAGTCAACACTACACTTTGTTCTGCGGCCTTGAGAGTAGTGTTGGAGTAGAAATTGCTGAGGAGACGTCGCGGAGGGGCGAGCTTTCCTGCGCAGGTATGACTTTGGCCGTATTTCAGCATGGTCGAGTGGAAAAATTCAAAAAAGTTTATTTCAAGAAAACCCCAAAAGGAAGATGGGGGACATGTCCTCTGCGCTAGAATAGGTGTTCTACTATCTGCCGGTGTATAGTTCTGGCCAATTGAGGACGTAGCTGGCGGTTTTGCCAGCGCTTGTAAATTGGCTATTTTCAAGACGATCATTTGTGGCGTCAGGGGGTGATGGACCTCGTATTCTGGGATGCTGGCGTGGCTAAGCGGTACTGCTCCAGGAACTCTTCTAAGGTGAGGCAATGTTGGCTTGATGGAGTTTTGTTCATAGCTTGTTCGTATACGCTGTGGCGTGACTCGTTTCTAGACTCATAAATAATGTGATATTTCGGCCATTTTTGAGGGGTATGCAAATTTCAAGGTTCCCTTCAGAAACTTTTTCAAGGGCTTTGCACAATCGATCCAAACCCCAAAGGGAACCTACCTGCAAATTTTGAGCGAAATCGGAGAGATCCACTTGCACACATACTTTGGTATTCTCAGACATGCTCTCTTAAGAAATGTGCTCCTCACATACTTTACTGTCAAACAGATGAACACTGCCAACTATGGAGCATTATCATCTTCACAGCCTTTAAGGAAAAGTTGCCTACAACACTAATATCCTGTAATTGTTATTTTTTACTAAGAAAATGGTGGGCATCACGCAACTGCGTTATAAAGGAAAGGGGGTTTATCAACTGACAACCCCTCTATTCAGTTGCTATTCACAGTGAGTGGCCCGAAACGTCACAATATTTTGACGTCACTAATAAAGAATTTTCATCCAGCGCATGCGCCAAGTGTGAATAGCAACTGCATAGAGTGGTTGTAAGTTGACGAACCCCCTATTCTTTAATTGTTGTTCTTGTGTGAATGAAGCTGAAGACACCACTGCAGCTGTACTTATGGTTGATAGATATGGTGGTAAAGACACACCTGGCAATATGGCGGTAAACACACGCCTGCCCACACACGCTCCCTGGGCTGCAAAGTTCTGGCACAGAGCTCTCCTTCTCACCACCACCACCATCAGTTCGCGCCTGGCGCCTGGTCGATGCATGGCTGGCGGTATCCGGCATAGCAGGCTGGTACATCAAGTAGAGCATGGCACATAGATGATGACACAGCAACGACATAGCTCGATTGCGACGTACGTTTCGTCCCCGCTGGGCTCATCAGGCAATCTTCTTCTTGGATGTCTTCATACGGAGCTTGACTCGGAGCTTGACTCATATTTATCAACCATAAGTACAGCTGCAGTGGTGTCTTCAGCTTCATTCTCCCGAGTCAAGCTCCGTATGAAGACATCCAAGAAGAAGATTGCCTGATGAGTCCAGCGGGGACGAAACGTACGTCGCAATCGAGCTATGTCGTTGCTGTGTCATCATCTATGTGCCATGCGCTACTTGATGTACCAGCCTGCTTTGCCGGATACCGCCAGCCATGCATCAACCAGGCACCAGGCGCGAACTGATGGTGGTGGTGGTGAGAAGAAGAGCTCTGTGCCAGAACTTTGCAGCCTAGAGAGCGTGTGTGGGCAGGCGTTTGTTTACCGCCATATTGCCAGGTGTGTCTTTACCACCATATTTATCAACCATGTTGTTCTTGTGTGTATTATATATACGCAGACTTACCTTCAGCTGGAGGAATTTTATTCCGAAGGCCAAGTGGACGCTAACACTCTAGTTGTTCTAGTTAGCGGGGAACAACTTGTTGGGAAGTCGACACTGATCAAGACATTGAGAGAAGAAGGAAACAACGGCACATCAAACGACTCGAAACGAACCCGAGGCATCCAGATGTCCAACTTCACTGATAATCTTGGTCAGCATTTGCGTATCAAAGATCTCGCTGGGCAGGACGCGTTTTCAGCGACACACGACATTTTCTGCCTATCCACATCAGTACCAAGCCTCGGTCTTGCTGTTGTCAATAGTAAATGGGACGAGAAACTGATTACAACAAGCATAACCACCACAGTTGGTCGGTTTTTGAGCCGGAGACCACCATCGGTAACATCAGGTCAGTGCGATATTTCATCAAATGCATTTTTGTGAAATTTTGTTTGTGTCTGTTGATCCGTATGTTGGCATGTACTGTAGCAGACATGGAAATTCAGTTGATTGACCGGGGCCGGCGCCCTCAGTGTGAACAGAACGCTGCGTGCAGTGCACATGTTGATCCGATGCGACCAGCGTTCTGCAGAGCATAAATGCATGTGTGTACCGATTGTCCACGGCCGCATGGCGAGTGCCCTGGGGTCGCTAGATGTGTGACCGGATTTCCATGTCCACGACAGTACATGAATGAAGGAATGATTGGGGTATGTGTTTGATTCTGTATACTGGTGCAGGGAGGGCACTGTGTGTGTGTGTGTGTGCATGCAGGTATGTGTGTGTGTGTGTGCATGCAGGTATGTGTGTGTGTGTGTGTGTGTGCATGCAGGTGTGTGTGTGTGTGTGTGTGTGTGTGTGTGTGTGTGTGTGTGTGCATGCAGGTGTGTGTGTGTGTTTATGTGTGTGTGCTATTTATAGTGGTGTGCATGGGTAGTCGGATACCCATGCAGCCCGTGAGGATCTCGTGTAGACGGGTACAGAATAGTACCTGAAAACCCGAAGTCGCTGATGGCATCATGTACAGTGCACATGTACAAATTCATGTAGTACTCTGCATGTATATCCAGTGTGTAAGGGAAGGAGTGCATTGTGCTGTCACCATGGAAACATTACCCAATAGGGTATCCGTGCTACCCGTAGAAAACTACCCAAAAAAACCCTGAAGAAAAATGCTACCAGACTCAGCCCTAGATATTCATCTCTCTGTCCATGGTAAATGCCTGTAATAAGTCCTTGGGTTGAAACATTGGTGAAGGTCGAGCACATGTGCGTCAATATGGGACCGGGAGCGTATGTGGTCCCGGTGATACTTTGGATACGTGAAATCAGACTGTTTTTCACATGAACGAACAGTTTTATTCACAAGTGCTGTGCACTACACTGTACACTGTACTAACGAATTGTTACTGCACATCAAGCTGAACATGCACTGCCCCATGTACTGGGTCTTTCCTTTTGCCCATGCATGTTCACACGGAGGTGGTCTAGAAAATGAGATAAGAGGGTCGATACATGGCACATGGGCGCGTACAAGGATAGTGGACATTATACAAATCTTCAAGTTATTCCGAACTTTCCAGAGTAGGACTTTTCACGCTGTGTGTGTGCAGTGGTTAACTGTTTTACCACACAGAGCACTATGGTCTGTGCATAAAGGTATGTACCGCTACCAGTCTACTGGACACCCGCACTATAGTGCTACATGAATCACGTGGCACAAGTCCACAGACTTGTCACGGGCACATAAATCCAGGCAGGGAAAGTGAGCTTTGTGTTTGAGAAAGAAATTAATTATTTTATTTTAGGGCATGGAATATTCCCGCCTCATCTTTGCTGCAACAATGAGTCCACAACTTACAAGTGAGAAACAACAAACAGCTTCTGGATCGAAAATGTTCAGATCCTTTAGTGTGGAGAGCCTTGAATGAAAGAGCCGTGCCGGTGGTTCAAATATTCTGCTCTCTTCTCCAATTGAGCAACGTCCGAAATAAGCTATGTCCATACCAAAATTGTCTATGCCCGATGGAGCCCAAGATTTTTGAAAACATTCAGAGAACTCGCATCTATCTTCTCCATCTCCAGACATTGCTCCTCAGAGATCTGATAATTAAATCAGCCTGGTCGGCATTAGCTGCTTCTTCTTCATTTGTCGCAGAAACAGCAGCGCACACTTCTGCCTGGCCTGTGCAGCCACTTCTCCAGTAGATTACCAAGGTTCTCAGCCCGAGACCGAACACATGGAGGTCAGGCATGGTTCCATCCTCACTCACGAGATATATATTCGAGGCCGCTCATAACACCCTAGTACGTACTATCGGTCGCCAATTCATTTGAAGTAGCATGAGCACAATTGCTTTAAAACACTCTTTTGGCCAATTTGTTAGCTGCATACTATGATATTGCGGAGAGTGTGTTGCTTAAAATCACCTTTCCTCAAATCTCCTCACCACAAATAAATATATATTTTTATTTGCGTTTCCCATCTCTTGTTGTTGCAAATACAGAACAGCCGTTCAATGTCATGATCATTGCGACCTTCCGCGACGAGATCAAGAGAGAGGATCATGAAAAACTTGCTGCAAAGCTTGCCACAAGCTATAGTAGTGTCGAGAAGGAATTTGGTGATAAACTCCACTTTCGAGGACGCTTTGCTATCAATGCCACCGCCAATGACGCAGACTTCGATCGCTTGAGAGTTAAACTTTCTGAGGTCTGCAGAGATATCCTGAGCGTAAGTAAAACTGTAAACCAGATTTCAATTACTACTAGTGGAGAAACTACGGGATAGTAAAGGGATCAGGAAAGATTAAGTGTGATAGAGAGAGTCAAAGATGGAAAGATGGAGAGAAAGAGGGAGAAGGATAAAGAGATAGAAAATGAGAACGAGAAAGAGAAAGAGAAAAAACAAGAGAGAAGAGAATGAGAGAAAGAAAGGCAGAAAGAGATGAAGAGAAAGATGGACAGATCGATGGAGAGACAGAGTTAGGGAGACAGAGATTAAGTGGGAGTTAAAGAGAGACAGAGATAGAACTGCAATGCACACCAGTGCATTAAAATAAAATAAATTTCACGGTTCGCGTGAGACTCGGCTGGAAGCCGAGTTTTCCGCATCCGCCGTGGGAACGCCACCACCCTCTAGGATCAAAGGCGCAGATGCAGCGCCTAAACGGTGGGAGGTGAGTAGATCAGACCCACCACCAAGTGGTCAAAGACCGAAATCCCATTAGCTGCATCCATGTTACCCTCGTGCCAGGCCACGAGTTCCCAATTAACTGTGGGTCGCAGCACGGCTGGAAAAATTCCTTCCGCTTCCAAGCAGGACTTGAACCTGGTACCCTCTGTTTCTCAATCATGGTCTTAGACCATCCCACTATGCCTGCCTGCCTGTGCATTAGACAGAGTTTATAATCATTTGTGGTCATCCGCACTTGCACCTCTCCCGTGAATTGTGCCAAGGATTTGGTTATGAAAGAACTATTCAAACTGGAAAGCAACCTTATACGATGTTCCAAGAATGAACTTCACACAATAATGTCAAGCATAGAAAGTGGCAAGTTGCAGGGATAGTGCCTGGATCATGGCCTGACATGAGGGAAAATATGGATCAGCGAAAGTGATTTTTGGTCCAAGAGCGCGTGGTTGTGAGTCTGATCTACTCAGCCACCAGGACAAGGTCCTGGGGGTCTGGTGATTTTTTTAATCTTTTTAGGCAGTTCACTTCCCCGTCTGATCCTTTGAATGATCCAATTATCCATGAGCACTCGGCCGAAGGCTAGAGATAGGCACCCACCGAGCTAGAATCCAGCAGCCAAAGGTGGGGCCATGCATCATAATAAATATGGATATTAAATATGATGGTAGGTAAACAACAGAGAGAAACACACAACAGCTTTCTAAATATCTGTCATAGGAAACACGAGAGGGTTTGGAGGAAAATAGGACCGGAAGAACTCCACCACCCACCGCAGAACATAACAAAGCAAGGACCTTATGCAGGATAGCTGCCGAGCCAAGGAGAGCATTCTTTTGCAATTCAGACATAGAACAGTAGCTGGTGATACCGATTGTGTCAAGGTATCCTGGCAACTGTTTGGACACGTGCCCTAAGTCCCAACTACTACAGGAACAATCTGAGTCTCAACTTGCCATAGTCGATGGATTTCGCGAGCAAGAATTTGATACTTGGCACGTTTCTCAACGTCCTTTTCAACAACGCGTGGATCACCAGGTACAGCAATGTCAATGATCAGGGCCTTCTTGGCAGATCCATCAACCAGAACAATATCAGTCCGTCGGTGCTTAGTGAAGCGATCGCACCGGATGGTGAAATCCCACAGAATCTTGATCTTCTTGTCCTGTGGAGAGATTTTGGAGTCTGAAGTATCTCTAGCTTCAGGCGCATTATTCTCGGGTGCAGGATGCTCTTGTACTGTTACACTAGTCTTGGTATGCTCAAGCACCGGATCACAGTGGTGCTTGTAGTACTTGTCTTCACATGGTATCCCATGTACACGACAGAGCGACCAGTGGACCACAGAGGCCAGCCGATTTTGACGCTCGAAGTAATCCCTTCCAGCGAGCTTCGAACACTCGCATAGGATAAGGGCAACCGACTCGCCTGCCTTCCCAGACATTCGACACAGGGGGCTTCTGTCTGCCCTGATAGAAGATTTGGGCCTTGAGCAGGTTAGTTCCTAAGGCCTGGTCTTGTGCCGCAGTGATCAGTCTCTCTGTGGTCTTCTTGAGACCAGCCTTTGTCAGCCAGTTCCAGGTGTTCTCCTTGGTCAGTTTTTCTTTTTGCCGGACAAACTGTCCATGCACGGGTTTCTGGGTCCACGACAAGAGGTGTTCTTTTTGAAGCGACACTTCACTACCTGTGAGGAGTCTCGTGGGGCATCCAGATGTGGCCACAGAATGGGCGCAGCCACCTTCAGGAGCTCCTTATCTGACTGATGCACATAACGCTGCAGATTGCTTTTCTCCATTGTGACATCATCATGAATATTTTGCAAACCATGTCCACCCTTCTTGCGACTGACGTACATACTGGCTACATTAGCGCGTGGATGGAGAGCTCCATGCATGGTCATAAGCTTGCGCGTTCTTCGGTCAGCAGATTTCAACTCGTCTTGCATGCATGCCAAGATAGCAGCACTATACCATATCAAAGCCACAAGACAGGTGTTGATGGCTGTGATGATGTTGTGGCCGTTTAGAGCTGCGCTGAGTACTCGTCGCACACGCCACTTGTACTCCTGCAGGATTTTCGTCTTCATATTTGAATGGTCAACACCTCCAGCTTCAAGGAAACCGTGGTATTTGTACGTTTCTTCTGGCTGTAGCGACCTGATAGATGAGTCACTCAACATTATTAAACGCATGTCCACGAAGGTGGCGGGGTGCCACTTTCGCTTACGCCATTCAGGACTGATGTCTGAAGAGTAATACAATACAATTAACTGACAGGAGTGACAAAAACAAAAGCCGTTAGCAACAATACCAATCGGGCTGATGGAAAACTTAATCAAAAGTATAAAATATAATATACACTCAATCTGCGGACAGCATGCTGTTTCGTTCTTTGTGAACTCATCAGCGCAGCACAGAGGAAATGAGGCTGAGCCTGATAGCAATGAAAATAAAAATTTCCAATCAAGCCCGAACGTACCTTGCCACGGAGTGCTCAAACTGACAAGTCAGTGAGCTCTGCGTAATGCAAACAGCAAAGGCACTACCCCACATGAGAGTGCTCAACTACTACAAGAGCAGGAGCGAAATCCTCAATCTGCGGACAGTGTTTCGTTCTTTGTGAACGCATCAACGCAGCACAGAGGAAATGAGGCCGAACCTAATAGCAATGAAAATAAAAATTCCAATCAGGCCCGATATAATATACATATATGTGTGGTGTTATTTCGAAAATCGGCACCAGAACACAACCCTATCCAGGCCCAGACGACACCGAAGTGCGAAAATGAGAAACAGTTTAAAAGATGCGCTGCTCGAAGAATTCGGCCAGCCACTGCATGCCGTACCAGCACGATGGTGCACGTCCGCACGCAGCCCAAATCAATGCACGTGTGTTAGCAGCGCAGGGGAAAGCAAAAGGGTTTGACATTCGGGTTGCCATTCAGCCGACTCAAAGTCCCAATCTCAACTTGGACGACTTGGTATTCTTCCACAGCCTGCAGGCAGACTTGTCACTTGTGACGAAGGAAACCAGAAAGAAGCTTCTTCAAGCTGTGGAAACATGTTGGCACGAATACCCGTTGCCAAGATGAGGAGCGTTTGGCTGTGTCTGTATGCCTCTTTCCATCACGGCATTCTGGAGAGTGGCAGAGACAACAACTACCAGCGCCACTGTGGAGGTCGTCAAGCTCACAGTTCTGGCAAAGAACTTGGCGATTTCTAGTGTTTTGGCAACTTGTAAAGGCTGCGGAAGAAAAACGAAAGTCAGCGGGGATGCAGACACGATATCTTAATGGAGTCGTCATGAGATTCAGACGAAGAGTGAAGCTGGACTGCTTTGAAACGAGCTGTATGGCATCTGTAAATAACTAATCCCTCATATGCTGCTGTGGTTTCCACTTTTCAAAGTGTGTTTGTAGCCATAGAAAGCTTTATACTGAACTGTAAATATGCAATGAAGTTTTGCTTACGGAGGAAGTACGTCATTAGTGGATTGTGTTCGTCCTCAGTGACGTATTCATACATCATTAACGATAAAAGGTTTAATCAGGTTTGTGAACAGAGAGTACTTTACCCACTGTGTTGATGTGCATGTTCAGAAATCTCCCAAGCAACCCAAAGTGCTCGGGCAGGCAGAGGAAGTACTGGCACAACTGCATGACCACATCCGAGAGCCATTCTCAACAAGTCGGGAGTTCTCTCGACAGCTTTGTGCTGCTAGCCACGTACAGTATGATGACGATGAAGATAGCATCAACACCGCACAAATCCGTCGATATCGCAAGATCCTCAATGCGTATGGGCTGGTATGTACATACTCTGCAGATTGAGTAATTTCAATTTACTTGCAGTAGATGTATTTCATGTTATGATGTATGTCATCTACGTCATGTACATCTCTAAGGGGTCGTCGCAAAAGTGTTTTATCGTCCCTGAAATGAACATCGCTCATTTCTTACTCGCACACCCTCCACTCCCTATGAAACAAACGCAGCTTGCTATGCTGGGTGATGAAAATTGCATGCATGTATATGTACTCATGTACATATATATAGTATCGGTCGACTTGTGATTTTTTCCAGATTTATTGGAAACTGGCACCCTACCTTTTTAGTGTCTCCCACACATAGTTGTAGATATCATGAAAACAGTACATCCTGCATTGTGTGACCCGTGCAATAACTCCTTGCCACATTTGAGGGCAGAAAAGCCCAAGAACAGGGAAATAGAAATTCGAAACTCGGACGTTGAGCCATAAATAAAAGTCGAAAGGAAAAGACATTATGAATACGAGTTAAGAGTAACTCTCCATCACTGTAACATGATACTTTATACAGTCAGAAAGTGCAATAACTAGGCACAAAACTGACAGAGTACTGAGACATTCGACGTCCTGACACCTAGCTTCAACACATCTCCGTAGCGCTAGCCTACAGCCTTCCAACTTGGAAGGTTCAAGGTTACGAAAAGACCAAAGAGGGGAAGGCAAGCGCAACGAAAACGAGCAAAAGCTACAGTCCCAACGGAACAAAGAATGTCGATTGTTACTGGACGATGACGAGACCAGTACGATATTTGACAAAGCGGTCTAACTACAATTCGAAGCAGCAAAGCATCACACCACCCAACTTGGGTGAGTCATGAATATTAAAGATAAGTAAAGAAATGGGAAGCTTTGCGAAAACGAATTGTACAAGCCGAAAGCCAAACTCCTACAGTACTCCTCATGCATGACATTGTGATGGACTAGTTGACTACAAAACAAGTTGTTTCATACGACGTACGTTTCGCCGTACGGTTCTTGACGGCTTATCAGGTGTGCAATTTGAAACTCGGATGTTGAGCCATAAATAAATGTAGAAAGGAAAAAGGCATTATGGATACGAGAGTAACTTTCCATCACTGTAACATGATACTTTATACAGTCAGAAAGTGTCTTAACTCGTATCCATAAATAGAAATTCAGCCAGGTTTACAAAATTTGAATAGGTATGCCATGGCAAAATATGTGGAGTAGCAAATCCCAAACCAAGAATGAGATTCTTGAGATTTAAAGTGGGTTTTTGATCCTCAATTCGGCCCAGATCGAACTTTCAAAAGCCAGCGGGACAGTTTCCGATGAATTGACCCTAGTGTCGATCGACTTGCGATTTTTGCCCCCCCCCCAACCCCTCCAACGAATGATGCTCGTCTCAGGAACAACAAAAAAACGTTTGCAACCACCCCTAAACTAGATTTGTTCTTATTCGTTGGTTTGAGGGAAAGATGCAACCGGTTTGATTTGTTCCTACTTCTTTTAAAGCCCATATCTAGAACATTACGATGCCCATCCTGCAATTAGCTGTAGTTTATTATCTATTATTCAGTGCTAGACCAGCTATACACCGATACTAGTAAGTGTAAGGCTGCTGGAAACTTCAATGTGAAGTGAAAATTGTGGAACAGGTTTAGTGTGTTGCTGTGCACAGTATGGCTAGCTGGGGCTTGACAGCAGGGGATATCACCTACAGATTGCTGGCTTTAGGCTGATAAAGAAATGATTGACAATGGGTGCATTGTGCTTTGCACCTTTGATGGATTGATCTTCAACAGTGAGTTTCTATTAGGATGTGCTGCATAGTCCTGCTTTGGCTGGCACCAGAGGGTAGTATTTGTGTCCATGAGGGGATACGGCACTGATTTCCGCGCAACTCAAGCCAGGGCATCTCTACCCGTGTCCCTTACATCCATTTCTTTAAAACTTAGGATAGTTCATTTAACAGTTTCGCATTGTCTCTCAATGTGGGGTCAGGCGAAGTGTGCTGTCATGACACGTCGAGGATTGGCTGGTTAACTTGCTTTGTTATGTTTTATTTTGGAGGTATTTGGCCTTTTTACTATCCTTCTGTCTGCGCATGCGTGTGGAATGTGTTTGCATCCATATTTGGGCATGTACAGTGCATCGGCTTACAACTATGTGTGTTGCTGTGTGTATGGGTTTGCATATCGTGTTTTTGTTTCTAGATTGTTTCTTTCTCATCACCTGAGCTGGACGACATCATTGTTAACCGACCCAACTGGTTGCTCTCCAAGGTCATTGGTCTCATTTTCGCACCACCTGGGCTTGATGACGGAGATATGCTGCACTTCATAGATGGTGTTGCGAAGGTCCAGGAAGTCCTCGGCAAGCTTAACAGCTGCGAGGGAGCAGAAGGTCAGGGCCCTCTGCTGCTGCAGATGGTGATACAACTAGGTGTGTTGCTCCAGGAGAAAGGAAGGATCCTGGCACCCAGCCGTCTTCCGACCGCTGACAACTGCCTCGGCTCACTGGCCAAGAAAGATTCATCATCTCGGTCGGCGTGCGCAGGAGTCTCTTTCACGACTCAGCACTGCTTCTCCACTGCTCTTGTTATCCGGCTACAGACAGAGCTGTACGCCTATTTCCACGAGCTTCACGGCATTCCTGCTGAGCTCTGGAAGAATCTGGTGGTAGTGGCTCCAGTCCATTCCACAGCCCGTGGTTGCATCTCCGTCACGGACAGCCTGCGCCAAGCTGTCGCTGTTGTCCATGCGCCCGTTGAAGATACGCTAGATGGCTATTGTCTGCTGGCTCTGTTGCGCAAGGTGTTTGGTGACCTCGCAGCACAGTATAGCCCGGGCACTAGCTACTCCACAAGCATCATCAGCTCTGCTTCGATTCGTCAGCACCTCCACGAGCCAAGCGACAAGTTTGATTTCGCTGTGTACGACGCAGAGGACGTCCGATCATCCGTAGCAACAAAGGGTCATCTCTCCACTAGCCAACGTGACGTTGATCGTGCCCCGCTTCTTCTCGAATGGCCGGTCAACCATGCTTCACTGCTCTCTGCACAGTCCTTTGAGTCCATCCGAGAAAGCCTTGGTGAGTCCGACCTGCCTGCACTAGCCACCTGCCTGGGCCTTACATCATCATCTTCATCATGTGTGGACAGTAATCATCTATGCGCTGCAGCAGCATTGGTCCACAGCTGGGCAGTTACCGACTACCATCACACCTCGACCAAGCTTCACCAGCTGCTAGTGAAATCACCGAACGCCCAGCGCTTTGCAAAGATCTGCAAGGTGCTACGGCAGCATGAAGAACTGGTGAGTGTGATGGCCTGTTACGCCCCTCTCTCTCAGTCTCTCTCTTAGTCTCCCTCAGTCTCTCTCTCTCTGCCTCTCTCTCTCTCTCAGTGTCGTCAGGCAAAATTACTGGTCCATCAGCGACACGCATTTTTCACAAAAATTTGCGTTTCACCTGCTGGGAGAGTATGCGTGTACTCGAGTCTCATCCTGAGCACGTTTTTTTCTTTCTTTTATCAGCTCCAGTATGCTGTATTTTTCATTGCAAAGCCGTCCTCGATTGTTGTGTTCGTTGTTCAAACGATATGGACATTCAAGCATGAAGGCAGAGGACCTAGGAGCCTGATTGGAGTTTTTCGTGGCATAGGATGGCCACACAGAGACACTTTGGGAATTTCTGAATATAAAATACCGTACGCACGATGCTGAGATCAATTTGTGCGATATCAAATTGTTTGTGATCTACCACATCGAGCAGAACGGGATCAAAACACAAGCTTACCGACGGTAAGGCTGCCGACCTGACTGGACAAATGATCCCTGGCTTCACCAGACGCCAGAAGTCGGACACCATGTCCTTTGCCGCGACGTCCATCTCCAAAAAGAACTCCATCTTCGTCGTGAAAAGGCTTGAAATACTCAATATTCAACCGAGATTCGCGGTCTCACCCTTTCTCAGATCGAATCATTTTTTGTTGTAGCAGTTGCAGGGCAGATCCCCGCCACTACTTCAACAGAAGATGGCTCCAAAGCATGCCTGGAACAAGCAATATCGAGGTTGCAAGCCACCCCTCTCCGCACTTTTTTTGAAGAAATTCGAAATTTCAATGGTGGAGATGTACTATGAAGAGAATTTCAAAAAGTATGTTTCGCGGAGCGATCGCTCAACCTACGTCATTCAAACTTTGTAGGATGGTTCAGACGTACATGCTAGGCATGAAACCACAGAAGATGATACACAGAGTCACACACACAGCAGATTCGTGTGCACAGATACTAAATTAGTGTACGTCGTCATCTTCTTCCCGCTGATCTCAAATGTACTATGACGTGCTATTTTGCCTGACGCTCTCTACTTCCCCCCCCCCCCCTCTCCCTATGTGTCTCTGTTGATGTATGCAAGTTGTTCTATCATTTTACTCAACAAAACATCTTTAACCTACCATTACGCAATGCACAATGTATTCTCGGTCGTGTACCTCTCATTGATTTCACTCTCAGTGGTATGGATGATATTGACACTAGCTGATGTTGATATCAGAGCCATGTTTGTTGCTTGTTTGTATATTTGTTACTCTCCTCACTGCAGCTGGCCACCGATTTCCCGGACATATTCCGGAAGCGTCGGGTGCAAGCCGTCCAGCCGGTCTCTGCGGGAGCTATTTCCTCGACTGTTCAATCAGACTCCGCGGAGAGCGTTCCTTCGACCCGCCAGTCACACTCTGATCAAGCCAGTCAGTCCACTGCTGCTCGGCAAGATGATGCTGGTAAAGTTGAATGTGCTCAATACACCATGTGTGCTCCCTGTATGCTAGTGTTAGTTTACTTGTGTGCAAATGTCTACTTCACACTATCTTGCAACACAACTTGATCCATGGGCTTGCTCAGGTCTCAAAGAGAACTTCTGTTTGCATGGGATTCCATACGAAAAAAGATAATAATTTTCTCTGTGGATAATGCACACATGACTGGTTAGGTATGTGTGTTATGCTAACCTTGATGATTTGATACCCATTCCTATAATCGAATACTTCTGCACAGAGACAGGGATAGTTTTAAAATCTGTTTTCTGTTCTTTCCTGTTGAATGTATCAGGCCATGCTGAGCATCACGCTGCTGATGGCAGCTGTGGAATTTTCCTATCCACTTCACCACTGTAAGTTCTACGCATGCATTACTCAACAATGAAGTATAGAACCGTTGAATCAGTCCTGTGTAAAGTTCAGTGAAATGTACTGCACCATTTCCAACATAATGAGTCAGGCCGGCCCAGTGACTGAGTTCTCAGACCATGATTGTGCAATGATAGCTATATGTATCATGATCAAGTCCTGACTTGAAGAGAATTGTTTCAACTGTGCTGTACACCACAGTGAGTTGGGAACACGAGGTGTGGAAAACAGGGCAACATTGATGCAGAAAGTGGGTTTTCACCTTTCCCATAATTATATTGTTGGATCTGAATTTTCCTCTCCATCCGTAAAAAAGCGGCATCTGACGCCTTTGAATGTGGTCTTTTCATGTAGTCTTTTCATGTGGTATTTTCATGTGGCGGTGTCGTCATCCCTAGAAACCAGAAAGGTCTTATTGAGCTGTGTACTTCCCAGATCCTTTTTAAATTCCTTTCCCTATTTGAAGTACATAAGCAGAAGAAAGTAAAGATCGCAGATACGCAACCAAATCGGCTATGCAATTGTGTTGAGAAACACAACTAGTTTAGGAAGTTTTGCTTGTACAAGGCCACCACCATGCCAGGGTGGCAGATGTAGCACGTGACAGCGAGGCTAACTTAGTATCACAAGCAATGCCTGACAAGGTGCAAACCTCGTTAGCTGCATCTATGTTACCCTCACTACGAATACAGGTACACAGTTGACAGTGGTTGTCAGAGCAGTTAACTGCATGTAAAGTGCTTCACGCTTGCATCACAGCATTTGTTAACAATGTACACGCTCACTGGTGTCAGCACTGGTCTTGAACTCAGAACCTTGCGATTAGCAGGAAAGCCCACAACCACTCGGCCAAAGTACTGGTCAGTAGGCAGTGGCAATAATTTCCCTACACTGCTTGCTTAATGACATGACCACTTTTTCGCCCGACCACGTTTTTTTTGAAGGCCCTGCAAGGCTGCATGGCCTCCACCAGGGAGTCGTAGGGGGTCGTACGACTTCCTGGCTTTCACCAGGGAGCCCTACGCGTAACACATGCGAGTGTACGTGCATATAGGGCTACCGGTATGGCCTACGACCATGTACACTGTGTGATGCACATCCCCGGACGCTTTTCGCTTGCACGCCTTCGCTGATCCGCTGCTTTTTGTTTTCCACTTTTTCCAAAGAATTCTCGTAGTTGTGTGTCTTTTTCCTCTCTGATTGCTGCTTGTGTGGACACCATGGAGGCTCATCAGCCTCAGAACTTTGCGTTTCCAAAGCGAAGTTTCGGGCGAACATCGATCGTTGAGCGTCCGTTTCAACCAGCTTGGTTCGATAAATTCAACTGGTTGCACTACGACGAGTCGACGGATTCTGTGACCTGCCATTTGTGTTCCTTTGCTGATCAGCAAGGGAAGCTGAAAGCGCCATCGAAGGACTCGGCCTTCATTTCTAAGGGCTTCAAAAATTGGAAAGATGCCACGGAGGGGTTCCGCCGTCACGAAAAGTCGCTGTGTCATATCGACGCTGTCCAGGTGATGCTTGTGCTACCGCAGACTGTCCCGGACATTGGTGAGGCGCTAAGTCAAGCCCATGCCAAGGAGAAAGCCCTGAATCGGCGAATGTTTGTGAGAATCCTAGAGAACATGAAGTTTTTTGGGTCGCCAAGGTCTTCCCTTGCGTGGCCACGACGATGCAGAGTCGAACTTTATGCAACTGCTGCAACTACAGAAGCTACATACTCCCGAGTTGCGTGCTTGGCTGGAGCGACGTGGGGACAAGTACTGCTCCCCCGAAATCCAGAAAGAAATCCTTCAGCTAATGTCGCATAGCATACTCCGGAATGTGGCCAAGTCCATCCATACTGCTGAGGTGTTCAGCGTAATGGCCGATGAGTGCGCAGACGTATCTAACAAGGAACAGCTGGCATTGTGCTTCCGGTGGGTTGACCAGGAGTTGGAAGCTCATGAAGATTTCGTTGGTTTGTGCCAGATTGACAACATATCTGCAGATACGATCGTTGCGGCTATCCGGGACTGCATGCTGCGACTCAACCTCCAACTCAAATGTTGGCAAGGCCAATGCTACGACGGTGCCTCAAATATGGCTGGCCACAGATCTGGTGTCGCGAAGCAGTTGGGAGATGAAGAGCCAAGGGCTCTCTTTGTGCACTGCTACGGGCACTCTCTGAACCTGGCAATGTGCGACACCATCAAGACGACTGTGCTGACCAGAGATTCCCTCGATGTCACCAGCGAGATCAGCAAGTTAATTAAGTACTCGCAAAAACGGAATGCCCGATTTGACGTCCTGAAGGGTGAGATCTCGCCCAACACACCAGGATTCCGTGTGCTGTGCCCGACCCGCTGGACAGTGCGAGGCAAGAGTCTGCAAAGCATCCTGGATAACTATCTGGTCTTGCAAGAACTGTGGGATGAAGTTCTGGCTGGGAGTGTGGACCCCGACGTGCATGCTCGCGTAATCGGAGTGAAGGCTCAAATGGAGACTTTCAACTTCTTCTTTGGAATCAGTTTGGCCCATCTTGTCCTGGCACATGGTGACAACCTCTCTGTTTCCCTCCAGAGTTCAACAATGTCTGCTGCCGAAGCCCAGAAAATAGCACGTTTGACGGTGAACACAATCACAAAGATGCGCACAGAGAATTCATTCTCGATGTTCTGGGAGGCTACTGTGGAAAAAAGTCACCAGTTTGATGTCTCTGAACCGCAGTTCCCTCGCAAACGCAAACGTCCACATAGGTATGAATGTGGAGATGAGCCAGCATACCACCCCAGCTCCCCGGAAAGCCGCTATCGGCAGCTGTATTATGAAGTGCTTGACAGTGCCAAGTCCTCCATCCAGACCCGGTTTAATCAGAAGAGCTTCGCCATATACACGCAGATGGAGAACCTTCTCTTGAAGAGTGCCAAAGGGGTGGACGCTACAGACGAGTTCAAGGCAGTGACAGAGTTGTACGGCGAGGATCTCGACTCCAACCTCCTTCTGACCCAGTTTTTCCTCCTTCAGACGCAGCTGACCTCTGATGACGATGTCACGTTTAAGTCTGTGCTGAAGTTCTTGCGGGGCTACTCCACATCTCAGAGGCAGCTTCTGTCTGAAGTTGTGAAGCTGGTGCGCTTGATTCTGGTTAGCCCAGCTACCAACGCCATCAGCGAGAGATCCTTCTCAGCAATGCGGAGAATCAAGACCTATCTCCGCTCCACAATGGGTCAGAGTCGGTTAAATTCAGTCATGCTCCTCCAGACGCACAAGGACAGGACAGATGCACTGTCTGTGGTGTAGTTGGGCAATGCCTTCGTCGATGTCACCAGTAGTGATCACCGCCGCTCAATATTTGGCACATTCACGGATGCTGATCTTGCAGCTAAGTAACCCAGCTAGCAGTTTGCCTGTGATTGCTCTTCTTGTCTTTTTTCCGCGGCTTTGTCTTTCGTACACAGCAGCGGGACCATGCACAGTAATAATTATTCTACTTATTGTTTCAATGCATATTGTACGCCATCTGTCACATATTATTATTTCTTGCCTGCATTTCTTTTCCTCGCTAGTTTTGCTGAGAGTTTTTGTACACCTATTCAATGGTGGATGAGATAACAGGCTTTGAATGCTGTCCATAGTTGTTTTCTTGGAAATAGTAAAACAATGCCAAAAGTGCCCAGAATGCAGGATTTTGCACCCTAATTTCAAAATATTTTCGGGGGAGATCCCCCTCCCCCCCCCCCCCCACTGGCCGGACCACCGCCAACGGCGGTGCTACGCGCCTGGGTAAAGTGTGTAAAGGGAACTGCGTGCAGAAGTGTAGGCAATAGTGCAGGCAGTAGTGCAGGCAGAAGTGTAGGCAGTAGTGTAGGCAGTAGTGTAGGCAGTAGTGTAGGCAGTAGTGTAGGCAGTAGTGTAGGCAGTAGTGTAGGCAGTAGTGTAGGCAGTAGTGCAGGCAGTAGTGTAGGCAGTAGTGTAGGCAGTAGTGTAGGCAGTAGTGTAGGCAGTAGTGTAGGCAGTAGTGTAGGCAGTAGTGTAGGCAGTAGTGCAGGCAGTAGTGTAGGTAGTAGTGAGGAGTGGGGGGGGGGCAGGATTGAGCAGCGTGGGAGGGAGTGTGGGAAGGAGTGCTGGCAGGCGTGTGGGCAAGAGTGTGATCAAGAATGCGAGCAGAGAAGTGAGGGGAGGAGTATGAGCGTGTTCAGAAAGGCTGGCAGGAGTGTGATCAAGAATGCGAGCAGAGAAGTGAGGGGAGGAGTATGAGCGTATTCAGAAAGGCTGGCAGGAGTGTGATCAAGAATGCGAGCAGAGAAGTGAGGGGAGGAGTATGAGCATGTTCAGAAAGGCTGGCAGGAGTGTGATCAAGAATGCGAGCAGAGAAGTGAGGGGAGGAGTATGAGCGTGTTTAGAAAGGCTGGCAGGAGTGTGATCAAGAATGCGAGCAGAGAAGTGAGGGGAGGAGTATGAGCGTGTTCAGAAAGGCTGGCAGGAATGTGATCAAGAATGCGAGCAGAGAAGTGAGGGGAGGAGTATGAGCATGTTAATAAAGGCTGGCAGGAGGGTGGGCAGGAGTGTGGGTAGGAGTGTGATCAGGAATGCGCGCAGAGACGTGTGGGCAGGGGAGTTTGGGCAGGGAGTGTGGGCAGAGAAGTGTGGGCAGAGAAAAGAGGGCAGGGAGTGTGGGCAGAGAAGGGTGGGCAGGAGAGTGTGGGTAGGAGTGTGATCAGGAATGCGCGCAGAGACGTGTGGGCAGGGGAGTGTGGGCAGAGAAGTGTGGGCAGGGGAGTGTGGGCAGGGAGTGTGGGCAGAGAAGTGTGGGCAGAGAAAAGAGGGCAGGGAGTGTGGGCAGAGAAGGGTGGGCAGGAGAGTGTGGGCAGGAGTGTGATCAGGAATGCGCGCAGCGAAGTATGGGCAGAGAAGTATGGGCAGAGAAGTGTGGGCCGGGGAGTGTGGGCAGGGGAGTGTTGGCATGAGAGTGTTGGCAGGAGAGTGTGGGCATGGGAGTGTGGGCATGGGAGTGTGGGCAGAGTGTACACTGTTCTTCTGAAAGGGGGTCTCCTGGGGAAGCTAGGTCCGCTCACACTGTGGCCAGTAACTGTGTAGGTGCACTAACCAAGGATGGCATAATGTCAGCCAGTAAACACATATCCGTGAAACCGGAGCCATGGTAGAGAAAGGTGGGCAGAGAAGTGTGGGCAGGGGAGTGTGGGCAGGGGAGTGTGGGTAGAGAAAGGTGGGTAGAGAAGTGTGGGCAGGGGAGTGTGGGCATAGAAGTGTGGGCGGGGGGGGGGGAGTGTGGGCAACGTGTGCGGACAGGAGTGTGGGCAGGAGTTTGGGCGTTGGCAAGAGTATGAGCAGGAATGCGTGCAGGAGTACGGCCAGCAATGTGGGCAGCTACATGTGTGTGTGTGCGAGTATCGAATTTTGTCATCAAATGGTTAGTATGTTCCATGTTTGTTCATTTTGAATGTGTTTGTGGGTTTGTATGTGTGTGTGTGCGTGTGTGTGTGTGTGTATGTGTGTGTGTGTGCGTGTGTATCTACAGCCATGCCATGTGGTCAAGGGACGAAAGCATTGCAAACCTGTATGAGGAGGATGAAGCGGAGCTCTCTGAACAAACAGGTGCGTTATTCCTTTTAACATAAGACTGCTCTCTTTATCTTGTTCTCATCTATCTGCACTCAACTGCCCTTCAATTTGTGTGCTGTTACCATTGTTGTCTTAGTCTGTCTGTATGCTATATACATACCCGAAAACACACAAAAATACATACCTTCAGTTATTGCTCTACATACACTGGCTTATACTTCATTCCATATTCACCCACATGCAATTGGCCATCTACAGGCGTAGTGGATATTGCTAGATATTCACCTCTTATATTCACCACTTTTCGATACTTACTGTGAAGAGAGCAGTACTCGGTGCTGTGCTTGATTTCTCTTCAGTCAGCGCACCGGAGATGGCGAGAGCGAGGACATTTCTACGCTAACTTCTGCAAAGAGGACTTTTCTGAGTACAAATGAAATCGGCCTGTGACCAGGTGGTGACAAGTCATCAGCCAGCGAGCAAACAAGGTTTTGTTCGCTCGGCATGTCCATGGATAGCGGATCGAGCGGCAAGCAAGGAATTTCGTTTGTACTCAGAAATGTTCTGCTTATGGATGTTGGCGTAGAACTTTTCTAGGGCACGCAACCGCTCCGGAGCGCTGCCTGGAAAGAAAATATGGGAGGGCAGAATCGCTTAGATTGCTGTCTATTAACCGACTCCCGAAAATGATGCTCACAGATTGGTCAAATCTTCTCATGAAATGGGGGCGATGATTGGCTCACGTAAAGCACGAGCGTGCTCTCTAAGGTGATTGGCTCGAGTGTGTTCTCCAAGGTCGTCGCCTCCCGTGCCATATGGACCAGCACGTGTCCACGATCTGTCCTAACAAACTTGAACAAGATTCGGTCAAGAACACTCCGCTCTCTGATTCATGCAAGAGCATGTCAGTCGGTAGTGAAGTAACAACGACTTACGTTAGTTCTGCGTACATGTTCATGTATGACCAACGTGACTCGTTTGTTCAGCTGTACGGATAACTGTTTTCTGATGATCGCTTAGTGCGTGAAACGCAGAGTTAAAATACTATCTTTGTCCTCTTATTGTCTGAACCCGCTCTGCCTCTCGGTATTGAGCACTCTCTTGGACAGCCTGGAACCTCTCTGTTTGACAGACAGACATATTCATAAATAGGAACAACACACTAATTAAAGGACAGTTGACCGCAGATAGATGTGAACCGGATAACGGGAGAAGTCTAGAAATACTGACTGAGAACAGAATGTTTTAAATGGAAAGAAGACGGTATGCACGAGGATTACAAGAACGGGTCACAATGCAGAACAGCGCTGCTAATTGAAGTACGTGGGATGGTCAGATTAATTCCTGGACCGCGCCAGCTGGTGAAAATCCTTGCGCGGAAGCATGTAGTAGTGAGGTGAAAAACCAGGTGCATGTCCTCAATGGTGATTGTATGGCATCATAGAAGCAGGCAAATCACATCATAGCAAAATTGAAAAAGCAAGATTGATGTGCACAGAAATGAAGGTTGGGAGGGCAAGGACCCTGAGGAGACTCAAACCTGATCGAGGAAGCCAGGAAAAGAAACAACGATAAAGAACACATTAGATGCCATACTTGCCACCAAAAAATATTGCCCGAGAAAATTTTTATTACCTACCTCGCTGCGCTTGCCTGTCCAGAAATGTAATGTCCTTCTTTCGAAAGTGCTTGACTTATGCTGAGTGCATGAGTCAATGGTGTGTGACTTATCACAAGTGTGTGGATTAAACGTGTGTGACTAATCATGAGTAGAAAGATTACCAATCTCATTGCACACCTATCCCATATGTATATGCCTGGTGATGTAAAACAAACTGTATCATCTTGTCTTGAAATGTGCTGGAGAAAAGAAAAAGCATTGCAAGCACTGTGAATGCAAATTCCACGCCAGGTACCTAGGTGTAGAAGTGTTGAAACAATCTCGTTATTGTCAGATGTGAAAACTATGGCTTCATTCATAGCAAAGTCAATCAGAGTGTTGTGGCAGCATGCATTATGAGGCGAATGCACAACTTAAAAACTTTATGTCGATAAGGACGCGTTCAACCGATAAAAAATGTCAAGAATAGTATTAGTAAGGCGGACGTTACGAAACAAAAAGAAGAGAATAATAATTATAATGAATCTAAATGCAAAATTTCCTGATCATTTTTCATGACTCACTCATCATGGAAAGCTATTATCTCCTCGTCGCTTATTTAAAGTAGAATGTGCTCAATACACCATGTGTGCTCTCTGTATGCTACTGCTAGTTTACTTACTTGTGTGCAAATGTCTACTTCACACTATCTTGCAACACAACTTGATCTATGGGCTTACTCAGGTCTCAAAGAGAACTTCAGTTTGCATGGGATTCTATACGAAAAAGAGAATTATTTTCCCTGTGGATAATAAACACATGACTCGTTAGGTATGTGTGTTATGCTGACCATTAGGATTTAATACACATTCCTATAATCGAATATTTCTGCGCCGAGATATGGATATTTTTTATATTCACTTCCTCTACTGTTCAATCAGACTCGGTGGAGAGCGTTCCTTCTGGCAGCCAGTCACACTCTGATCAAGCCAGTCAGTCCACTGCTGCTCGCCAAGATGATGCTGGTAAAGTTGAATGTGCTCAATACACCATGTGTGCTCCCTGTATGCTAGTGTTAGTTTACTTGTGTGCAAATGTCTACTTCACACTATCTTGCAACACAACTTGAGCCTCTAGATCGGAAAAGAGGGTTTTTTCTATTTTTCTTGTTTTGTATTGTATTGATTTAGTTGAATTGGGTATCTCAACAGTACAATAACTGTACAACTTGCGAACATACACGCTTATGTCGTTTCATGCAGTACTGAGAAAATGCATTTTAAAGTTGTGTGGTTTCCGCATAAAGTGATGTATAACTCACTTTTTGCCAGCTAACTGGCCTCTCTGCCTACACCGCCGACACACCCACACACAACAGAAAGATACAGATCACAGTAGTAGTGTGGTCTTTGTTCACTCACGGTGGAAGATGGAAGAGCTTAGCGTAGTGTATAGATGAGCATGAAGAAGGGCATGCCACCTCACGCATATACATTGTACACATATGTACCAGACCAACATAATGCAAAAAGTGAACCACTGTGGTGAATGGGGCCGCCGGATAATTAACCGGCCCGAAGCTGGCGGAAAAAAACCTCTGGACCCCGGCGGAGGCACAACCCTGAGGAAAAACCGGTTAGAATAACCCCATAAGATAAATGAACAAAACGTAGCCTGCAGGACCTATCCGGAAGTGAGAATAAAGGGGAGGGCGGGTGGGAAACTACAACGAAAAGAGAAAGACCAAAATGAAGAGAAAATTTTGAGAACACTGACAAAAAAACAGCTGACGCAATCCTGGTGCCGTAACTATGGTGAAAATGCTGGCAAAAAGTACATTTTTCGTTTCATTCGCTATGCTCAGCCAACGAAAAATACCACTTTTTGCCAGCTAGCTGGCCTCTGCGTACACCGCAGACACACCCACACACAACAGAAAGATACAGATCACAGTAGTAGTGTGGTCTTTGTTCACTCACGACGGAAATGATAGCCGACCCGATAGTCACTGGTGCAATATATCGTCAGACACCGACAGCATGTCCTTGAGGGAACAGCCTCCACATACATGTTCTTACATGTGGATGACTTCCAACCCCCTTGCCGCTGAAGAAGGCGCTCTGGCACGCCAGCATTGGCTGCTGCCGTCGCTCCCCCCCCCCCCCCCCCCCCGACCGGAGACTGTGAGTGCTATACCCTGTGGGGTCTTCACCTACGCGGGCGAGAGCTGTGTGGATCAATTTGCGCGCCCGGGCGTATGTCATCTTTCCCCGCAGACATGACTGGTGGGTTGCTGCAGAGACCTTGCCAAAGAGAGGTTGAGTGGGTACATGCCGTGCTCTCTCCAAGAAACCCTCTATGACCGACACAGGACATGGTGTAGTAGCCTGCTGCTCCAGCCGGCTCACCATGACCACATCGCCCTGGCGCAACTGGTCGTTCTTGCGTTGTCGCAGGTGTAGGGACATATGCGTGCCGCAAATGGAGATATCCTGAGGCGTGAGGCGTTGTAAATCGTCCCAGTGAAGCTGAGCAGTGGAGCCGAGGACAAACAACGCTGCGGTTTGCCAGTCCTGCAACGGGGCGGTAGGGATAGCCAGTGTGGCGACGACCTTGTTGAACACCACCGACCTCAAGGGTGAGCGGCGATTGATTGGTCGGGCACAAAGACGTCTTGCAGCAGTGAGCAATTGTCTCACCATGCTATGTTGTGTGGGATCCTGGCAATCCACCTTACAATGCACCCAGTGCATTGCCGCCACAAATTGGTTTATTGACCCCATGGTACACTCTAACTGCAATAACTTGACGATGTATAAGCACACGCTGCTGGTGGGTGCCGCTGGGAATGACGTAACTTGACACGGTACGGCCCACTTTTCCCATCGGTGTAACGCGCGCTGGTACGCAGACGCAGTGGAGCTAGCAACATCCTTCCAAATCACTGTTCTTAGCAGGTCCGCCAGAGGTTTCAGGGACGGTTGTGTCACAGCGTCCACCTCGACCCAGAACGCGGACGGGCCTGACAAGAATGACACACGGAGAAGCAAAAATAGGCAGAAACACGCAACCCAGTCAACAAAAACACAACAACAACAACAACAACCATGGGTTCTCATTAATGGCCATCGTAAACGGGTCCCATGCATGACAGCTCATTCCATAGGCTTTCGAGCCACAAACAAACCCGACCCCGCAGACAACAGCATCCCGTAGCACATTGTCCCCTTGGGCAAACACATGCACAACCTAACCACCCAAGTGGGGATGACCAACCCGCTCCCAGGGAGCTCCAGGCCTGCCTCTCATTGGCATGCAGATAACCCAGTGTCCCGTCGCACATTGTCCCCTTGGGAAAACACATGCATAACCTGCCCACCAGGTGGGAATGACACACACCCTCCCAGGGAGCTCACGCTCTGCCTCCCATAGGCATGCAGATCACCAAGTGTTGCACACCTTTGCTCCCAGGGAGCCTCACACACACATGCATTCGCTCCATAGACTGTAGTGACAGCACTCCGCTAGCACTCATTTGCGCATAGGATCAAGCCCAGCCCATATGAATCTACACCACTGCTTTCCAAGACAAAAAAATCCAATAACTATGCCTCCTCCAAGTCAAATGTGAACATAAAGCACTCGGACTGAAATAACAGGGGAATGACAGGAAGATCTTTAAAAGAGAAACGCATATCAGCTAGGAATTGATTGACATACCGCAGATCTAATATTGGGCGCAGCTTCCCATTTTTCATTGGAACCACACCGAAAGGACTGACCACAACTAAGCTGGCCAGTGGGGCTTCCTCAACGGCACCCGACAAACATAAATCCCGGATATTGGAGGACACAAACTCAGCATGGGAGAAAACAGCAAGGGGAATTACAGATGACCTATGGAGGAGGAAGGACAGTGAAACACAAAAAATACCACACCCAATAATCTTCAATACAAACTCTGACGCGCCAATACCACGCCAAAAACTAACACATGGCTGAAGCCGCCCGTGCACACTTATCTTATTGTGGGTGCTGGGCTGGCATGAGGGCTGCTGCCGCTGGTGAAGCACTAAACATGCTGGGGCCGCCGAATTGCCCTTTGGCTGCTCCACCAAATCACGGTTGGTGTTGCCGTGGACCACGCTGCTGGCTGAGGCATACTCTGGCCATGTGACCCACCTGTCCACAGGCATAGCAGGTGACTCCCGCAGAGCCCAGAACTCTGCCTCCGTCTCCGAACGCCCCGAAGCCAGTGTTTCTTCGGCCGAACTGTGCAGGGGCCCGTGACATATACTGCTGGCTGGGGGTGCGAAAATTCCTCTGCTGATGCTCCCGCGTGCTATCAGGACATGCTACTATCCGCCGTGCTGTTGCAGCCGCCTGAGCAATCCTCTTGTCATCTGCCATCCCGTCACCCAGCACACCGTTTTCATATATTTCGACTGTTTTCCAATCGTAAGCGTCCGTAATCCGGAGATGCTTCTGGTGGAGGGTCAGGGTCGCGTTACTTTTTGCTAGGTATGCAGCCGCGTCTGATGGCAGTTGAGTGAGCGCTTCCTCCACGCCATCGAGCACAGTTTGGTTTACGTCGAATTGTTTTTGCAGGCCAGCTTGCTTCAACATGACGTGGTTCGACTTGGAGGCTGCCAGCTCAGCCCGCGCAGCCCTCGTCTCTCTCTCTTGACATCCTGGATCTTCTCTGACAGCTGTCCGAAGGCCTGCGCGAACCAAGCTGGCGGGGAGCCGGCAACCTCCGGGGGACCAACCATGACAGGATCCGGAGCAGGTACTTGCTCCTCGACGTTGCCAGCACGGATACGCTTTCGGGCTGTGCCGACAGGTCCAGGTGAGGCGGACCGGGTCCGCTTTTTTCTGGGTGGAACTGGGATTTGAACCAGGGGTGCAAGCGAAACGCTTGCCAGCGAGTTTTTACTTCTCGTTTGTGGCATGGTCAAACTCTTCCCCGGACGAACAAAAATGCAAACTACAACGAAAAGAGAAAGACCACGATGAAGAGAAAAGTTTGAGAACACTGACAAAAAACAGCTGACGCAATCCTGGTGCCGTAACTATGGTGAAAATGCTGGCAAAAAATACATTTTTCGTTTCATTCGCTACGCTCAGCCAACGAAAAATAACACTTTTTCAAACACCTATAACTCTGTGAAACATGACAATTTTAGACCTAGGTGATCTGCTGGGATACAGCAATGCCAGGGTATAGATCACTCAAAATGCTCAAAAATGACATAAGCCACCTTTTTGAATTTAGAGGCTCATTTGATCTATGAGCTTGCTCAGGTCTCAAAGAGAACTTCAGTTTGCAGGAGATTCTGTACAAAAAAAGAGTCATTGTCTCTGTGGATAGTGAATACATGACAAGTTGGGTATGTGTTTTATGCTTACCTTTTATGAAATCAGTTTATAATTTATAATTTATACCCATTCCTATAATCAAATTTTTCTGCACGGAGACATGGATAGTTTTCATATGCTGTTTTCTGTTCTTTCCTGTTGAATGTATCAGGCCATGCTGAGGGTCATGCTGCTCATGGGAGCTGTGGTATTGTCCAACCCACTTCACCACTGTAAGTTCTACTCATGCATTGCTCAACAATGAAGTATAGAACCGTTGAATCAGTCCTAGGTAAAGTTCAGTGAAATGTACTGCATCATTTCCAACATAATGAGTCAGCCCGGCCCATTGAGTGAGTTCTCAGACCATGACGGTGCAATGACAGGTATATGTATCATGGTCAAGTCCTGACTTGAAGAGGATTGCTTCAACTGTGCTGTACACCACAGTGAGTTGGGAACACGAGGTGTGGAAAACAGATCAACATTGATGCAGAAATTGGGTTTTCACCTTTGCCCATATACTGTAATTGGTGGATCGGAATTTTCCTCTCCATCCGTAAAGAAGCGGCATCTGACGCCTTTTCATGTTGTCTTTTCATGTTGTCCTCTTTCAGAGAGAAATTTTTGTCAGACATTTCTGACTATCAAGACTTTAGTGAATGGATGGAAAAGTGCATCGGCCGCCCTAGACGTGGTAAGTATGTTGCTGCCTTTCTGTGTAGAATCGAAGACAAAATACGCACCATTAATATTATCCGGAGTATAATCTGCTTCTAGATATTTTTTCACTAAATACATTACATTGTTCGTTGTTATTTTAGTTGTTCCTACTTGCTAAGTTCCTATCACCTCTTTACTGTACCAAATAAAGACTTGGAATCGGAATATAATACATTATAGCGTAACTTGTAGTCCCTGTGCTTAGACTTGCTGTGGTGTGAGGCAGTGTATTGGGAACGTGAATAGGCTACCGACATGTCTCTGAGAAACGCTGTATTTCTTTCGCTTCCCTCCTTGTTCTCCTGTGTGTCCAGAGGACTTTGCCCGAGCCGTTGCAAAACTGATTGACCCAGAATACAGCAACCATTTCAAAGACGACATGCAAGACTTTATCAAGAAAAACGACCTTGGCACCACTGACATACCGGATAATATGCATGGCGTTATCAGGTGGGCCGTGGACAAAGCTGGAACGCGTGAAATCACCCTGGCCGAGTTGAAGAAGATTGCGCTACGCCTGAATCCCGACAAGAAGAAAAGGATTGAGAAAACATTCCAGTGAGTTAACCAAGAATGACTCATATCATTGTTATACGGTATTTTGGTGGCATGGTCCGGGTCGGGGCCAGGGAGAAGGGATGGGGTGATGGGTGGGGGGGGGGGGGGGGGTTGTCACCGGTGGTCAAATTTGTTTGAGAAAGTGATGAACGGGCTGTGCTGGGATCCTGCCTACACCTTAGCTTGGCGTCTGAGCACTGAACCGCCTTTTCGCTTCCAGAGTTATGGCCAGGTCAAAATAGTAGAGAGGATGGGGGGGGGGGGGGAGGGGACAGGGAAAACAGTTACCCCGTAACCGATTTTCCCATTTTCCAAATAACTGTCTTGCAACGCTAAATGCAACGTACGGAGCGAACGCCTGCCAGAATGGCATGAAAAAACACAAATAATCGGAGAATGAGGAGGGGCAGCACTTTTTCACTGAAGGGTCAGCAAACAGAATAGGCGGGGGGGGGCTGTGTCCCCCTACCCCCCCCCCCCCCCCCCTCGCTACAGCCCCGCGCTTCCGCGGGACCCCGCCACCCATGAGCAGCGGTCAGATGCAGTTCCTCAACAGTGGGAAGGATAGATGAAATCCACCTACCAGAGGCCAAAGCCGAAATCCCATTTGCCACAACCAAGTTTTTCTCAAGCCAGACCACAAGTTCCTAATTCACAGTGAGTCGCACCTAGGCTGGGAAAAAACCTTCCGCTTCCAAGGATTACCTGAACTGGCAAAATTATAGATTTCGAATAGAGGGCGGGGACCTAACTTGGAGATGAAACCGTCTTTCCTTCTAAAAATTTCTCCCCCCCCCCCTCCCCCTCTGTCTCTGCCTGTCTTTTTATTGCAGAATACCATATCTGTCGGCCTGATGGTGTGTCTGCGTGTCAATCTCTTACCCTCTCTGTACTTTTTCCCCTCTCTCCTTCTCTCTCTCTCTCTTTCTCTTTCTCTCTCTCTCTCTCTCTCTCTCTCTCTCTCTCTCTCTCTCTCTCTCTCTCTCTCTCTCTCTTTCTCTCTCTCTCTTAATCCACCATACGCAGTTCGCAAGGCTGGGCGGGGTTGTGAGCAGGCTTTCATTTCATCTTTTCTTATTATTTTTTATTATTTCTGCTTTTCATCTCATTACAAAAATTCTGCGCTTTTTCTCCATCTGCGCATAAAATCTAGACTGACAACCTGCTTGTTAAATCATGCACCTGCTTTCAGGCGTAAAAACCCTGTTGTAGAGGTCTCAGTCCTCATTTGTTAGACTTACCTGTCTTTATAAATGTAACTTACTCTCTTTCTCTCTCCCTCTCTTTCTCTCTCTTTCTCTCTCTTTGTCTCTTTTTCTCTCTCTCGCTCTCTCTCACTCTTTCTCTCTCTTGTTATTTGTCCTTGGTACAGTGATGAAACATGGTGAAGCGTCATCTTGAAGCTGCCCTGCCCAGCAGTGGCCTCTATTCGTTCCTGGCTTAACTCTCAACTGTCTACATTCTACTGGTAGAGAGTCACTCGACAGCAGAACACCTCAAGCATCTGAAGACCATCTTCCATCACTTGGCAGAGTATGGTTTGGTGGTCGGTGTCAGCAAGTTTGTCTTCATGCAGCCCTCCGTGACACTCCTGGGTCACAATGTCAAAGCCACTGCCGGCGGTGGCATTGAGACACTGGCAGAGAAGGTCAAGGTCATGGTGGACTACCCTGCTCCAGACACTCACTCTGCTCTCTACCTCGCTTTCTGGGTTTGGTAAATCTCTACCGACGCTTCATCCCGGATTGTGCATGCATTCTTCAGCCGCTCTCGTATATGTTAGCAGGCCCTCAATCTCCCACGCACCTTTGTCGCGAACGTAGCAAATACATGAAAATAAATTCGGAATAACTAATTTGTATTTTGCATTACATGACGATGATTAACATTAGTGTTTTTGTATATACCATGACAATGATTGTGCTCTCTTACTCTCTCTTACATTGTGGCTGATTCCACGCTTGGGTTAGCAGAATTCAGGTTCCCTATCTTCATTTCTAAGAATTGACTCCATTCCACTTCAAAGTAGCTTCGAAGGTAGTCTTCATTTCTCTAGTCTTTGCATTTCGTTCTCAAACAAATTCTTCGTTAAGTTTTCGTACCGTGTCTAGTCTCGCGCTCTTGATTTGTTTTGCTCGCGCGTGACTTTCCTTTCTGTTTTTTTTATGCATGACCCTGATGACGTATTGGTATGATGTATATGTGCACTTGATCACTTGCCTACGTGACTACGTGTTCACTAACTACAGCCAGTACTAGGCTAGTGTACTTTAGCTGTAGGCTAGTGTACTTTAGCTGTAGGCTAGTGCACTTTAGCTGTAGGCTAGTGCACTTTAGCTGTAGGCTAGTGTACTTTAGCTGTAGGCTAGTGTACTTTAGCGATTCGCTCTTCTTACTACTATTTTTTCTGCGTTTCTATTTTGCACTAGTTCCTTTTTCCACCATTCCACGTCAATAAAAGTTCTGGTCGCCATTTTAATGCATGATCGTTGTGCACAGATGCATGTGGATGCAGCTGCCCTGTTTCCTTTACTTTTGAATCTTTATTGAGAAAGAACCTTTCCTAATCATAAATGAAGAAACATTGTTTGTAAATTTGTTCCTTGGCTCACCATCTGAGTCCTTAAAGCTATTATTCATTTTCTGCTGCCCCCGGTTATTTCTTTTATTAGTATTATTACTTTATTTGTGCCTAAGGAGAGTGTTTGGCCATGATCAGTATACTTCTATCGATTTCATTCTCACCAAATATAACCTGTATACTTTCTCTCGCCGTGTAAACTTGAAGCTGTTTGTGTTTGTTTTTAGGTGTCTATCTCGTTGCACCAGTCCTCTTTTAAGCACGATATTTACCCCGCGCTCTGCATCGTGCCGCACAATTGCTGCTACCCGCGGTCAAGCTTCAGCTGCTCTGAACCTACCCAGAGCTACGTCTCGTTACGGCCTGAATGCTATTTCATTTTTGGCAGCAGACAGATGGAACATGCTTCCACCTGGATGTCGTCAAGCTAAGCCCCTTTCTGCATTTGTCACAAGCACCAAGTCATTCCTAGGGTTCCCAGTAAAAAGGCAACGCCTGTTGGGAGTTCCCTAGTAAAATAATAAATTCTACTACTACTACTACTACTCTTTGCCTTCGCTTTCTTGTTATTGGTCAAATTGCCCGTTAGAATCTGCTAAGTAAAATAAACAACAACAACAACAACAAATTAATAGATAGGTTCCGGGTATGATTTTCCTTGCCAAACTCCGTATGGACGCTACGGATATTTTCCACGCGTACTTCAGACGATCGGCACGGGGAATCCACGTGGACTGGCTTTCATACGAACCATGGTACATGGTACCATGTTTCGTATGAAAATTTTGCGTCATCGAATGCAGAAAGATTTTTGTGTACAAATTGGGCACGAGAAACATCGATTTTCCGCGGGAAGTTTTGATTTCGGTACAAATTTTCAAATTAAAATGCAAAGAGTGGGGATATGACGTGTTTGCTATCGTAACCTAGGCAATGCAGGCAAACACATAAGTTCCGTACTGCGGTGCATTTTACTGGTCGAAAACGACTTATAAAAATTCCGTAGCGCCACGAATTTTGACACGAAAAATCGTACTCCAGAACCTCTCTAATGCCGTTCATGTCTATTGGTTGGAGATGTAATGATGTTGCGAGTCACGACATGAAAATTTGGTGCAAAAACCCCATTGCCTCGACGGAATGAGGAACGTCTGGGTCAGTCAAAGCAGAGTCAGACGCCAATAGTGATACTGGCAAGTTGAAAATGGATACGGTCACCCTACCGGCGCAACTGATTTCCGTGAGCTGCTCGCTTCTCGCTCCACATAATTATACTGGCATTAACTACAACGCACAGCAACTTGCGGTACGGGGGAGTGCCGACCAGCGGAGTAAAAGGCTACGGAAAGAAATACGTAGACACTGCCGGAACAGAATGTTGGCGGAGCCAAGTATCTACGAGACAGGATTCAGGGTCCGCCGGGTAGACACTGCCGAAGCAGAATGTTGGCGGAGCCAAGTATCTACAAGAGTCTGCGTCCGAGGGACGGCGACCGAGGGCCCTGAGTAGCCGGAAATGAGCGTGGCCAACACCCCGTTTAGTCACTTTATCAAAGCAAATTAGTAATGAGAAATGGGAGGTGGGAGGGTGAAACACTCCGAGCAAGCAAGAATGATCGCCGCACAGAACGGATCGAAAATATATAGCAGAGCAAACTCTAGCAAGACATGCAACGATACATGCCACCCACGTTGAGCTACAAGCAAGCGTCATCATAACGCCGCCAAACCCACCCACGTTGAGCTACAAGCAAGCGTCATCTTTACCCCGCGCATCGCATGCGGTAACAGCACTATCAAACATAGCAGCATAGATTGAGCGGTAGCACAAACTGAGTGCACCCATTAATCTGCATTATCACCATAATGCTATATTAACTACAACACACAGCAACCTGCGGTACGGGGGAGTGCCGGCCAGCGGAGTGAGAGGCTACGGAAAGAAATACGTAGACACTGCAGGAGCAAAATGTTGGCGGAGCCAAGTATCTACGAGAGAGGATTCAGGGTCGGCCGGGTAGACACAGCCAAAGCAGAATGTTGGCGGGGCCAAGTATCTACAAGAGTCTGCATCCGAGGGACGGCGACGGAGGGCCCTGAGTAGCCGGAAATGAGCGTGGCCCATAATGGCCGGCAATTCCCGCACCGAAGAAGCCATGAGCGCAGTTGTGCAAACAGCAGGGGAGCGAGATGTCGCCCAGAGTGGAAAGTAAGAAGTAAGGTAGAGGCAATAATGGTTCGTGCATTGACTCAGCACGAAATATAGAATCAATGAGGCCATCGCCAAGAGTCCATGCAACACACACATGAATACAGGGCATACCACGCAATTAAATAGGCCCACTGTGAAGAGCCCTAGAAACAGACAGCAGGTCCGACGGATCTGTGCGAATGTACCTCAGAACACAGTCCCTTTGCCACCTACCCATAGCACGGATTTTCCACAAAGGAACGCCGTTTGCAACAGCCGTTGTCGCCGCACCAATCCTGAAGGAGTGGCCACTATATTCAGCCACATTACTCACCCCGGACAACTGCAGGAGGGCTCTCAGTTTAGCAGTGAAGCGACGGCGAGTCAGCGCTGACATAAACCGGAACAAGGGCTGCAACAATGGCGGCTTACTGCGTGACGAGTCCTCGACCATGGCAACAACGGGACAATATTGTGGCGTTGCTGGCCCGATGTATAGGGTCATGCCTCTGGCAAACGGGTCCGTCTTGGACCGCTTCACAACAAACTGTAATGCGGGCTTACCACCATGGTACGCGATCTTCACACTATCACCGGCAGCATCAAATCTTGGGTCGAACGGTGCGTGATCGCTTACAGTAAACTCAGCGCATCGCAGGAAGCCGTGGAACGCCAACAGGATTGCGGCTTGCAGCATTACGCGATCGTCTGGGGTAGAAGTCGGGTTATTCCGCAACCGGTCCACAACAGACCGGATCAGATCACTTGTCAGTGGAAGACGAGTCATGGACGGAGCAGTGCCCTTCACTCTCTTAATGCCCTTAAGCACGCGCGGTAGCAAGGTAGCGCCTTTCGTAGGATCATCCATGCCACACTCGAGATGCAGATCACGAACGGCCGAGATGTAATTGGCCACTGTACCTGGCTTCACAGATCTCGCCAAGTAGGTCGCAAAGCTCGATAACATACTGTCTGTCGCCGGCAACGGGTCCCATCGGCATAACTGGCAGAACTGCCGGTAGCGTTGTTCTCAATAACGGTATGCTGCCCTGGTAGATGGCGCAATGGCAAGGGACGCGTATCGGGCTGTTTCGCTGCTTAGTCCCAGGAAGGAAGGGGCACTGGCGTGTCCGGTCCTGTCGAGCCCCGCGGAGCGATCATCCGAAATTCCTGCATTTTTAAAAGAGAGGGCATCCGCAATTGCATTAGACTTGCCAAGCACATGACGAGCTACGACACAGAAGTTGTGCCTTGCACACACAAGGAACAGTTTCCGGATGAGGGCCATCACAGGTGGAGACTTTGACGTGCCCGAAGCCAAGCAATCAACCACAGCCTGATTGTCGCAGTGGAATGCTATGCGAAGCCGGCACCACATATGTCCCCACGTGGCACACGCGACGAGAATAGGAAACAGTTCCTTGTACTCAATGGACAGGTCCATGGTGTCTTGCTCCCAGCAGCTGTACATCCACCTGCCCTCGTTGGCATAATAGGCGTCCCAACCAAGGGTGCCACTAGCATCAGTATATAGACCTAAGTCGGTACTGGAAGTCTCAGCTTGGTACAGGAAGAACGACTTGCCATTCCAAGCAGCTAAGAACTCCACCACAGAAGATCCTTACGACAGTCGCTGCTCAAGGTAATGCGGTAATGCTGAGGTACCTTGCTGAACTTCTTAGCGGTGTCCCATAATCTGCGCATAAACGTGCGGCCCGAAACAATCACCTGCGCAGCAAAAGAGAGCTTGCCCAAAAGAGAGACGAACTTTGCTGCGGGGATGGAGCGAGTTGTTTCATATCCGCTAGCTTTTCATCTGGTAGCCGAGCTTCGAACCGTTCGGAATTCATTGTGATGCCAAGGAATGTCAACTCCGTCATAAGGGCCCTATAGCTTCTCCAACGCCAGGGGAACGCCGAGGTATGTCAAGGCTTCTTCAATAATAGAGCGTTGCATGGACGCGAGGGACAAGGAAGGAGCAGACACAGAGAGGTAGTTTTTTTTTTTTTTTTTTTTTTTCTACAAAATCCACATATCTCCAGACACTGGGGTGAATGATGGAGTGTGGTGGTGGGGCCCATTAAGCTCCGCCGACCAGAGGTCTCGGCTTCATAGCTCCATGGACGCACCAAAGGGATATTGGGTGGGGAGGATTAAATTGAAAAAGAAAACAGAAGAAAGAAAATGGAAAGATTGTATTGCTCAGTGAGCAAAAGAATAAGTTGAGTATTGATGTGAACGCTGTTAGACTTTTAAATTCAAGAGGAGACTGCCCGTGAGGAGAGATTACATGTATGTCCAAGCAGGGTAGGACACTGTACCCTCTTACTCGCGTATGCTATGAGTGGCCCAGTGCCAGTTCGTTCTGAGGAGATGGTGATAAGCTGCTGTCTTGAACTTTTGGATGTTCTTTGAGTGAAATGGGTGGGGAATGATAGAGGTAGGCAGCTGGTTCCAAATTGGGATGACGGAGTGGGGAAAGGCTCGGCTCACATTGTTCCGGGAATTGGCAGGAAGAACATTCTGTAACTGATGGGGATGCGCGGTGGACAGTCGTACAGCCTGGCGGGTGAGGCGTGTGGTCCTGGGTTGGTGTGTCGGGGGTGGAGCCATTCTCGAGAGAAGAGCGGGAGAATTATCGCAAAGGGCTTTATACAGGAGGCAGAGGGCAGCGATGGTGCGGCGAATTATGAGGCTAGGAAGCCAGCATTGCGGATGTATTGCCTTGATGGCTCGCTCCTGCACCCAGTCTAGCCGATTCAAGTGGGAAGGAGCTGCCCCCATCCAGACGATTGGGCAGTACTCCATAACCGGCCGGACAAAGGCTTTGTAGGCTCGAAGCCGGGCAGGAATAGTCAGCAAGTGAAATGCCTTGCGCAAGGCTCCAAGTCTCTGCCTTGCTCGGACTACAACAGTTCGGATATGCTGGCTGAATTTTAGCTGATGGTCAAACGTGACGCCGAGTACTTTGATGGAGGGCTGCTCCTCAACGGGAGTTCCATTGAAGACAATGGGGGGTATTGGCCAGTCCCGACGATGGTGGGAAATTGTAAGGGCCTGAGATTTGTCGTCCAGATAATGCATGATGATCGGAATGGCGAACTGGTGACGCAAAATCCACTCGGCTTCCGCAACCTGGTTGAAAATGAACGGGCTAGAACGCAGACCAAACGGTAACACCTTCTTGAAATAGTACTGGTTCTGCCAATGAATGCCCAACAGCGGCCAGTCATCAGGGGAGACTGGAATGAGCCGGAACGCGTTGCGGATGTCGAGCTTCGTCAATAGGGCGCCGCGGCCCACTGACATGATGGCACGAACTGCATCGTCGACGTGGGTATTCTTCAAGCTGAACTTGTCCGCTGGTACGCCGTCATTTACGCTGGACCCT